CGGGCGCTGCCTGGAAAAGAGGGTGAGGTGCCTCCTGGTTCCCATGGGAGGATGTGATCGGCTTGAGCAACTCTGAAGGCTGCCAGGGCACTGGAGCCTGCTGCTTTGGGATGAGCAGGAACTGTGCCTGGTCCCCACGAAAAGACGACTGTTTGGCTTGGGGATCATTTCTGTGGGAGTAGAGTGGGGAGCCATTCAAAGTTATCCTGGTTTTCCCCAGATGCCAAGGCAGCACATAATAGTGGACCTTAATTTTAGGCCTTCTACCATACCTCTGAAACAATACAGTCGAGTCCAAAGAAATAATAACGACTCATACAAAAGCTCACCTCCTAGACACAGGCAGGATTCATACTGAGACTTCCATTTATCCTCATCTGCGTACATGCAGAAAGGAGGGTGGCAGACCAGATCGACTGTGGGGAATATCTGTCCTTCTGTTTTGACCGCCCAGCTCATCGCCTCACTTCCCGTGATTCTCACTGTAGAAGTCAGATCCTGTCTTTCCTTGGCTCCCGTGTCGCACGGGTCTAGGCTCTACCAAGCAGATGCCCCATCACTTGGATCCCAATCTAGCAATGCCGAGAGCGAGAATTTTGTGGGAACAATGCTGGTGAGGGTAGCAGCAGCTACACAAGGTTTCCTGGGGTAGCAGTGCCAGAGGATGGAGAGTTAGCAGCCAGTGCCCAGGGCTGGCCACATCAGTGCCTAGGCTGCGGGGTCTGTGCCTGTCACGTGGAAAATTACCTTAATGCCACTACACCAGGCGAGCCATGTTGGGGGGTCACAGAATAGAGAGGCTCAAACTGAAGTGCTTGAATCACAGGGTTTGCTAAATAAAGTTATAACACACAGTGATAAGAAGAGGAGAGATGGAGTCAATTAACACACTCAGGGCAAGCGGACAGACCATGCTGAGTCCTGGGTAGATGATGTTCAGATGTCTTTCTCCCTCTTTCTGCCATATCAGGCTTTCCTGCTGCTGACGTGGGCATGAGGACAGAGCTGAGGTTTGAGCAAAGGGTCCTCAGGCAGAGGTGCCCTGGATCAATGACACATGCCTGCTCTGTCGAGTGTATGTCAGACGACAGATGCAGCCTGCAGACCTATGGAGACACACTGGAGACACAGGCGACAGCACACCTGGCCACAGCTATAGCTCGCCAAGTAGCCTGCAGAGTGGCCATGGCACTTCTTGGGCGAAGACACGTGGGGCCAAAATCAGCGTCCCCAGTGGGCGGCCAACGCAGCCCTCATGAACACCGAGTGCTTCATATGCCTGTGTATACATAGAGAATTGTGACTATCGGGCGCCTCTCGGTCCTTCTTTCTAGGTTAAGAAAAGAGAGAAATTTGCTTACTGGTGACCTATCTATACTGACAGCTTATGAGTCTCCTCCATCCCATCTGTCTTGCTCTCTGTAGCAGAACTGAAGTCTTGGACAACACACGCGAGCCCCAGTGCCCAGCAGTGCCGACAGGGTTTTCTCTGCATCAGTCTGCAGCGTGATTTGGGACCCTAATCTGGGTTGCATAAACTCCTGAAGAGTCTTTGAGCGACTTCATATTCAATGATAGATTCATGTTCAGCCTAAAGTACTCACAGTTGGTTTCTATTTTTTGGAACTAAGAACCCTCATTGACATAGAAAGTAGTACAGAGTGGTTGCAGGCCACAGATTCTCAAAGAAACGGTAATTTGGGATTGGCGAGTGGTCTGGTTGGGGCTGAAGGCAGTGAAAATCCAGCTAGTATTAAGGGGTGGGGCGCTGGTAGGGGTGAAAAAGTTAAATAATGACCTCTGGTCATTTGGAACGAATGTCCATTGAAAGCTTTGGGGCAAATGGCCACTGGCATTGACGAGTAAGGAGCACGTGAGGAAAGTGAGCACCGCAGGGCAGCTGGTCGTTTCTATGTGTGGTGTGGAGCTTAAAACAAAAGATCGACAAGCCCAGAGTGCCCAAGTCTCTGTCAGGGAATCAGGAACTTCATATTACTTTACTAAAAGAATCTCTTATTTCTTATTGCCTCAGGCTGAAATACTCTAAAAGTAACCTCAAAGTCTTATCTTGCAGGTAGCAGCATTACACCCTCAGTGGAGTCCCAACTATGATAGTGTCAGTGTCAGGGAGCTCCCATAACTGTCCTAAAATAATCTCCAAGAACAAAGAGATCTCTTAAAAATACTTCTAATTTGTATCTTCAAAACCATGAAACAAGCATAGTTGCAATAAAAAAGGAAACTTCAGAAAGTAAAGAAGAGTTTTAAGAAATTAAAATTATGGTAGCCAACATGAAAATTCAACAGAAGGATTAGACATAAAGTGGTGACAATCTGCAAGAAAGGAGACCAAAAAAAATAAAGAGTTTGAGGAGTTTCAGAAAAAAGAAAAAGAAAAGAAAAAAGGAGAAAAGAGGCTATTATCCAAGAAAATAATATAAAACAATTTCTCAAAGCTGAAAGACATGAGTTTCTACATTAAACAGGCATACTGAGTAGACCATAGTGAAATTTTGGAACATGTAGAATACAAAGAAATTATTTTCCTATTACTTTATGTTTTTCCATACTTTACAATATTTTTATAAGCAACTGGGATGATTTTAGTAATAAAAAACCAAAATAAAGGCAAAAAAGAAAATAATTGACAATTGGGAAACAATACCAAATAATCCTAAATTAATTTTGACCACACCTTATACCTCTTTAAATTAACATATGAGAGAAAAGTAGGAGCAAGTTGAGAACAAGAGTAAAGAGACCTGGCTCAATCAACATACAACAAATAAACATTATAAATAGAAAACGTAGGATAAACTTAAAAATAAGGTGGCAGAAATACATTAAACACACCAATAATCACACTAAAGGTAAGTGGGTTAAATTTCTGTTTTAGAAGAAAGTTACTTTCAGACTTTGTTAAAAAAACAAGACCCACCTATGTACTATTTATAAAAAACATCACTTAAGACAAAATGGCAAAGAGGCTGAAGAGACACATCAGACAAATATAACAACAACAGCAGCAAGAAGAAGAAGAAGCTGGCATGGGAAATATTAGAAACAGACTAAATAAGACTCAAGCCAAATTTAAAGTGAGAAGTGGGGGAGATTTTACGTTGATATAAGGATACTTCTTCAGAACTATAATGATAAAAGCCAGTATTTATTGAGAATTTACTACATGTCAGACACTATGATAATTGCTTGCATACAGGCATTACATCAGACAGTCCTCAGTACGATCCCATTACTGCCCCCATCAAGGGGGGACAGGAAACTGAGGCACAGAGAAGCTAGAGAGGCCACAGGCTGGCCACTAAGCACCAAGATCCAGGACATATAACCATTGTGTGCTATGCAACTAATATCAAACCTTTGAAAAATATAAAGCAAAATCCATTAGGAATATTCCTATATTTTCTTGTAATATCTTAAAGTTCTTTTTTATGTTTGAATCAATCTATCAGGAATTAATTTTTTTTAAAGATTTTATTTTTTTCCTTTTTCTCCCCAAAGCCCCCTGGTACATAGTTGTATATTCTTCGTTGTGGGTCCTTCTAGTTGTGGTATGTGGGACGCTGCCTCAGCGTGGTTTGGTGAGCAGTGCCATGTCCGCGCCCAGGATTCGAACCAACGAAACACTGGGCCGCCTGCAGCGGAGCGCGCGAACTTAACCACTCGGCTACGGGGTCAGCCCCAATCTATCAGGAATTAATTTTTGTGAATGATGTGAAATGGTGGTCTGACAACTCAATCCTTTGGCCAATTGTCCCAACAGCTTCCTTTCCCCATGGACTTGAAACACTCTAACACATACTAAATGTCCATATATGCTTGAGTCTGCTTCTGAGCTGCTTTGTGTCTTTGACCTATTTGTCTATTCCTATGGCAATAACACAGACATACCCTGAATCTTTAGCCATAACTCCTTACCCACTGTTCCAGATCATGAGTTTCCCCCATGCCTGTTTTCGCTCCCACGATACCCCCAGCTTGCAGTGCTTCCCTCTCAGTGCACTAACCAGGCGCCGCGCTTGATATTCATCCTTCAAGACTCACTTTCCAACCAACTATGCCAAATTTCTCGGCTTTTCTTCCATATATCCTTATCAGTTTTAAGAAAACAAATATTCTGCTAATATATCACATACAAAATGCGGTGTTAACTTTATTGGAAAGGATCACCTGCATCTCCCTCTCCACGTCTCCCCTCCAGTCCTCCACTTGAAGTGCCCTTGCAGGAAGGGGCTTTGTACACTAGTATGTAGCAATCAACTGATGTTCTATAGGTATTTATTGAAAGAAATAATACACACATGTGCTTTATATAGAAACAATATCAGGGAACTGGTTACTGTGGTTGTTTCTGGGGAGGAAAATACAGATGGAGTGAGACCGCCCCTTGGGACTTTTCCTATGTGTATGTATCATCTATTTTCAAAAAGAACAGTGAGATCTTTCATCCATTGTCTTGAACAAATTTTCACATCTTATTTTTAGTGTGAGACAAATTGTAGAAGAAATAAAATATATAACCTTATTTTTAGAATTAGAAATTCTGAAAAAAAAAATCTTCCGCATGGGTATGTTGTGGTAGGGGATTGGATTAAGCCAAGGCAGAAAGGCAGAGGCGAGGAAAGGGAAGAGAGACAAGGCAGCTAGCTAGACATCGAGCATCCCAACCCGCCAGTGAGGCCCCGCCCCTCAAGCCAGGGCCCCGCCCCGCCCACCGGGCACAGGCCCCGCCCCTCACCCCATTCTCGGGGTCCAGTCCGACACCACCCCCAGTCTCACCCGCCCCTCTCCCTCGGTTAAGGAAATTAGAATTTCTCCCCGGAGGCTGGACCCAGAACGGCTCCACCTCGCCGCCGCCGCCGCCGCCGGAGCCGCCTCGGGCCCCGAAAGCCTGAGCCCAGGCCACTTCCGCTTCCGGAAGCGGAAGTGCTGGGCGGCTGCGGCCCGCGGCGGGCGTTCGGGCGGTGCGGTATGAGGTGCGTCTCCGGCGGGTCTGCGGCGCGGCCTGGCCCGTGGGGGCCGGGGTCCTTCCTTCCTTCTTTCACCCGAAAGCGCTTCACTGTGTGGCTTTCGCTCGGGCCGCGGGCGGCAGTCTTGCGTCGCTGCGCGGTGAGGGCGTCTGAGGAGGAGCGGCCTCTGGCGCTGCCGCAGTCCCCTCGTCCTTCCCCGCCGGCGCCCGCCTCAGCCCGGCCTGTGCGTCACCCTGAAGCTTCCAGACGGGCGGGCCTCAGAAAGAGGTGACGTGAGCTCTGTTCCCTACTGAGAATTGAAAGTGAGTTGGCCCTAAATGGGATTTATTTTTTTTAAATAATAGGGTTAAAGCTCACTTCTGCCGAGAAATGAGGAAAAAATTAATTCCGGAAGGAAAATTAAACGCCAGATTTCACTTTAATGAGTGAGGTGTTTGTTTTCAAACAGAAGATTTGTCCTACCTTGTCATTTTGGGAAGAATTAGCGTGTCTTAGAGACATCTGAAGTCTAGTGTGGATTTGGGTTCCGTGAACGGACGTTTGAAGTCGTTTTCGTGGCGTCAGAGCGCGTGTGCGCGTGCGCAGGCCCGTGCCCTCGGGGTCGGCTCTGCGGAGGTGTTCTGGGGGCGCGGGGGGAGGTTGGCAGGTCTTCGTCGGGGGCCCTCGGGGAACTGGGCCCTGGACTGGGGGACTCGTGCGGCCGATCAGAGCGTAGCGCTGGCCCCATGGGCGTTTTCCTCCAGCCAGGAAGACGTTTCGGATGAACGGTGACGGGGGCGACTTGGGAACGTGCGGCAGGGAACTGGCGCGGGAGGTCAGGAAGAACATCCCAAAAGGGGCAGATGTCTGAACCTGGAGGAGGAGTTGATGTAGCAGACGAGGGCTCAGGCCGCGGAGCAGGGGCGAGGAGGAGACTGGAGAGGCCGTCCCAGGCGCGCCGTCCGGCAGGCCGTGCAAGGCTGGTGCGCTCCAGGAGCCGAGGACAGACGGGGAGGCTGAGGCACAGGGGACGCTGCGGGGAGGGCGGGGCCCCGAGGTCGCGGGAGACTCGGAACGAGAGTTTTAAGGAGGAGAGCGACATGAGTTAGTTTGTGACTTGGGTAGAACTTCAGCTCCTGGATTCGGCCTGGACTTGAGGATGCACAAGGCTGGACGCAGGGTCCATGGATGCAGAGGAAGTGGGATAAGGTCAGGACTCAGTGATGGCGTCGGGGCCTGATGATTGTGCAGCTGGAAAAGGTGGGATGTTTGAGACGCACGTAGGAGGCAGAATCGAGAGAATTCGGTGACTGACGGTTTCTCTCCACCACGCGATGATGTGGAGCAGGGCTTGGCCGACCGCGGCGGGGGGCCAAATCTGTGGCCCAGTCTGACCCACCGCCAGTTTCTATAAATAAGTAAATTCCCTGTAAGGGTTTTCGCTCGGCCTCCGGGCTGGTCCGCCAAGACGGAATTTCCTGGGCCAACCCTCCCCGCCCTGCTCAGGGCTCACCTGCGCCCCCTCCTCTTTTGACCTCAGGGCTCACCTGCGCCCCCTCCTCCTTTGTCCAGGTCTCTCTTCCTGCAGAGCGGTCACCTGCTGAGACGTCACCCCTGGCACTGGGGTCGGGGTGAGGGGCTTGGGAAAACCAGGATGGTTGCAGGGGAGTGAGAGTGAGTCTGTGCTCTGGGCCCTGTCCCCTCTGCCTGTCCCCTAACTGAGGAGGAAAGGGGCAGGGACTTGTGGGGCCTCTTCAGCCTGGCCCCAGGGGCCTGGGGACCTCTTCCAGTGCATGTCTCTGGGGAAGCTGGCTTGGGAGGAGGGTCCCCACAGCGACCCTGGGCTCTCGGTCCACTTCCCAAGTCTGACTGCAGAGCTCCTCCAGGGCCATCCCTGGTGTCCCATGGAAGACCTACCGAAAGAACAGGTGGCTATATAAATTAAAATGAAAATGAATCAAAATCCAATAAAATAAAAAACTCAGTTTCTCAGTTGCCTGAGCCACATTTCCCAGGTGCTCGGTAGCCACCTGTGCTGCTGGCCACCTTTTTGGGAGGTGCAGACGTAGAACCTTCCACCATCACAGAGAGCTTTACTGGACATTGCTGCTCTGGAGAATTCTGAAGTTAGAAGGCCATACATTTTCTCCGATTTTAACAGGCATAGAAGACTACTGAATGGTTATATAAGTCTTGGGAGGGGTCCTAGGGACCTCATAAAAATTAAGAGATCAAACCCAAACTTTTGATGCCTTACATAAGGAGTTTAGGAAAAACTCTCTACAGCTGAGAAGTACAGGCTGTCACTGGTCAGTGAAGTGACAAAGAGAGCCAAAGCTTATCCTTTCGGATTTGTCCAAATATTAAAAGAAAGTAAATATTTTCTGCCTGGTGGGGCATATCATCTCTGTCACCGCAACTGTTTGGGCACAAAATCAGCCCTGGAGGTAGGTGAACAAATGGACGTGGCTGTGTGCCAATAAAACTTAACGAAAGCAGGCGGCGGGGTTTGCCTGGCCCTCGTGTGGAGGGAGCTCCCTGTCGCACGTTCTTGCCGGGGTCTGCCTTCCCGGTGACAACCAGATGGCCTGCCCAATGCGGGCGGGCCTTGCTGCGCCGGACGTGTGCTGTCTCGGGAGTCGGCCTCCTCCGAGGGCCTGGTGGCCTTGTGGCTTGGTGGCGGGCTCACCCAGGAGCAGCCACACAGGACCCGGGCGACTGCAGGGCCTGCCCCGGGCTCGGGCACGGGCACGCCGGCCGCCCCGCCGGGCTGTCCTGTGTCTGCAAAGACGCGCCAGGGCCCCGCGGCTGCGCGTCCCCCGCCCGGCGTGCTGACCGCCTTCTCTGCGCTCAGCTCTGCGCTCAGCTCTGCGCTCAGCACTGCGCTCAGCACGCGCGGTCCCCTCCTGGGTCCGGCTTCAGGACCTCGAGGGCGGGGCAGGGAGGGGCTGTGCTTGGGGGCAGGGCTGCGTCTGTGCTCCGCCTCCCTCCCTGCTGGCCTTTCCCTGAGCTGTGGCGGGGGTCTGGGGCTGGGGCGAGCGCCCAGGGGCCAGCTCTCGGAACCACCCGGACGAGGGGCACTGGGAAGTGTCCGTCTGAGAATGTTTGAAAGGCCCCTTATCCTGAGGGGAATTAAGGCCTTTTGGGGTGAGCTTTCTCAAATAACTTGTTGAGCTTTTCTTCTGTTTTCACATTCTAGCTCTCCTCTCCTGTTTGTCTTGGGTCTCAGAAAAAGATCTGTTCCAATTTCTCTTTTTTTTAAAAAATTGAGATATTTACATACCATAAAATTCACTCTTTTGTTTTATTTTTTTCCTTGGTGAGGAAGATTGGCTTTGAGCTAACATCTGTTACCAATCTTCCTCTTTTTTTTTCTTTTTTAAATTCCCCAAAGCCCCAGTACATAGTTGTATGTCCTAGTCGTAAATCGTTCTGGTTCTTCTATGTGGGATGTCGCCACAGCATGGCTTGTTGAGTCGTGTGTATGTCTGTGCCCAGGATCCAACTGGGTGAACCCCAGCAGAGTGTGCAAACTTAACCACTTGGCCATGGGGCCAGCCCCTCACCCTTTTAAAGTCCAATTCACTGGTTTTTAGTACATTCATAAAGTTGTGCAGCCTCACCACTCCCTAAGTCCAGAACATTTCCATCGCCTGCAGAGGAAACCTGGCTGTGAGCAGTCACGCCCCGCCCTGGCACCGCTGATCCAATTTCTGTCTCTGGAGTTGCCTGTTGTGGACATATCACATCGAGGGAATCACATATCCACACTCGGCCTTTTGTATCTGTCTTCTTTCACTCAGGATGATGTTTTCGAGGTTCATCCATGTGTGAATCAGGGCTTCAGTCCTCTTTAAGGCTGAATAATATCCCACTGTGTGGTTGGACCACCTTTTATTGATCATCAGTTGACGGACACTTGGGTGGTTTCCACTTTTTGGCCATTGTGAATGATGCTGTTGTGAACATTCGTGTGCAGGATTTTGTGTGGACGTGTTTCCAGTTCTCTCAGGTTTATACCAAGGAGTGGAGTTGCTGGGTCACATGGTAACTGTGTGTTTAAGTTTTTGAGGAGCTGCCAAACTGCTTTCTAAAACTGTTTTACGTTCCCACCGGCAGTGGATGAGGGTTCCGATTTCTCTACCTCCTCACCCACACGTATCATCAGATTCCTCTTTAACTTGAACATTTCTGCGTCTGTTCCTGTCACTGCTGCTTTCTGGTTTCTCCGACAACACTCTGGCAGCGTCGGTCTCCCTCCCTGCTGAATTCTTTGCTGGGAAGCAGCCCCGCCTTTCCGCCTCAGTTCCACACGCAGCCCTACTCTTGAGAGTCTCGCTGTGCTCGCTGATGCCTTCTTCCCTTTCAGCACCTTCCCAAGCATAGGGTCAAAATTAAAAAAAAATGCCTATATATTTTTTGTGTGTTAGTTTCACACGACTTTTTTTCTGAAAGAAGTTAATTTTTTTCCAATTAATTTTAGACTGTGAATCTCAACTTGAATCCAAAGCATCTACTCCTGAGCAGGCTATTTTGGAGGAAAATTCACCCCATGATTCGCAAACGGTAAGATTCCGGGGGCATGTCCTCCGCCCCCTCTCTTAGGAGAAGTTGAGGAATCTGTGAGCTGGAGGCGCACACCGGGGCCAGGGAGGCGGCTGAGCTGGGGCGTCTCAGGGACACTCATGTCCGCCGGGAGGGTCCCTGACGCGGGAATTTGGGCCAACCCCACCTGTCACTCAAGACTCTTCTTACTAGAAGGTTCCTCCACGTAAACGTTTCCATCCATGAGAGTCGGATGCGGACTGTGTGCAGTACCATTTCCGCTTCAACACTTGTCAGGACCTCGCCGCCTGGTGGAGAAGCCCCCGAGAGTCCCAGAGGCGAGGGAGCCTTGTGGCGGAGCCCGCAGCGTCCTCAGAGAGCGGGCCTGTCCCAAAGCGCAGCCCTGAAAACGCCGACAGCGTCCTCTGCCGGGCATCCCCGGGCGCGGCACGGATGTCGGCGAGCTTCTCCTTGCTCGCCCGGCCAGGAGCGCGCTCCAGCTGGAGAGACGGCTCCCGGTGGCTTAACTGCGGCAGGAGAGGCCTCTGGAGGAAGCGCCTGCATCTGGACGAGAGGGCCGCTCTGACTGAAGAACGTGGGAAAGTTGTCGGGGCCCCTCACCCCTTAGGAGACAAGTTGAGACCCCCCCCCCCCCGGGAGCCAAGCTCTGTGCAGGGCCGGGAAGAGCCTGGAGCGCCGCGTCCCGTGCACGGAAGGTGTGTGCCGAGCTGTGGCCTGAGCGCCTGCCTCTGCGGACTTCGGCCCGGCCCTTCCCTTCCGGGGCGGCCCTCCTGGGGCCGGGGTCTGGAAGGCGGGGCTTCGCGTTTGGAGTCCGGGGACGCGCAGAGCCGCGCTTCCCGCCGAGGTTGGGCCCGTTTGTCATAAGCCACGGCGCCCCCTGGGCTCCCTCAGTCTGCGCCCCTGCGCCTGCGTCCTGGGTGGTGCTGGCTCCGCGTCAGACTCCCGCCCGGTGGGCGGGGCGCGTCCGGCCCGTGCGGCCTGGGGTGCTGCGGGGCCGCCGAGACTCTCCTCGCGGCCCGCGGCCCCTTCGTCCTCAGTTGACGCTCATGTTTCGGGAACAGATGTCCTCCAGGACCTGCGGGAGGGGTGCGAGGTTTGAGACCGCAGGGTCTGAAAGGGCCTTATCGGAGCTGCTGGGTCCCCGGGCCTCGGCGGACGGAGCGGTGCGCTGACCCCGTTTCAGGGCGCTCTGCGTCGCTCGGGAGCCGCAGGGAATGCTCGCTGCGGGCGGGTCGGACGGCAGCTGGAAGGCGTCCCAGGCCCCCTTCCCCGCGTGTGAGCAGCGGCTGGACCACGTGAGCGAGGGAGACGGGATGACCTCCGAGGGACTCTGGTCTCTGTGGGCCCTTCCTCTCAGCACGAGGTTTTAGCGCATTCCACAGGACTCCATTCCCGGCTCAGGGGCGAGCACCGAGTGCAGGGGAGGGGAGGGCTTCTGCTGCTGCCTCCGAGGTCCAGGGAACCGGCGGCCACGGGGTGTTCCGAGCCGGCCGAGGAGGGCTGCTTCTGGCCACGTGTGCAGAGAAGCCGGGCGGTCATCTCTGAGGACGCACGGCCCCGAAGTGCCAGAGGCGGAACCGCAGCTCGAATCCGGGCTGACTTCGGGGGGGCCCCCGTCGTGGCCGCCAGGACCTGCTGCCTGAGGTCACACCACCCGTGCCTAGGGCCACGGCGCCGACACTTCCACCAGCCCTCCGGTCCGTGCCGGCCGTCCCTGGCCTCGTCTCCACCGTCGGGCCCCGAGAGGCAGCTCCGAGGCCTCCCCGTCACGTGGGGATAGTGCTGGTGGTTAGGACAGACCCAGGCCCCGCGGCCTCCCAGCGCCAGCAAGGCCAGGGGCGGGGGGCCTCCCAGAGGGCGCAGAGCTGCTCCCAGGAGAGCCTACGCCTCTGCCGCGGCCGGGCTCCGGCGCCGCCTCACCCAGCCCCCGGCGCCGCCCCTCCCTCTCCCCCTCTGCGGTCTCCGCAGTGCTCACACCGCAGTGCTCAGTAAGGAGGAGACGAGCAGATCCGTCGAACTCCTGGAAACCTTGTCTTCAAGGAGAGCCATCTGTGTCACGATTGTTCGGCTGATGGGGCCAGCCACCGGGCGAGGGGTTGGGTTCCCACGCTCTGCTGCGGCAGCCCAGGGTTTCACCAGTTGGGATCCTGGGTGCGAACATGGCACCGCTCATCAGGCCACGCTGAGGCGCATCCCACAGGCCACAACAAGAAGGACCCACAACTAGAACATACAACTATGTACTGGGGGGCTTTGAGGACAGAAAAAGAAGGAAAAAAAAAAAAGATTGGCAACAGTTGTTAGCTCAGGTGCCAATCTTTAAAAAAAAAAAGATTGTTCTGATGAGAATACTTGTCTCAACATGGTACCTGCGGGTTTTAATTTATGGCTTGACTGGGCGGCGACACGGAGAGGCCAGTGTCCGAAAGAAGACTTTCATGGCTTACATTCTTGAGAGCAGAGGGGTCGCCGCTCGGACAGGGCCACGCGGGGCACCAGGTCCCACCGGGGTCGACTGGAGCGAGCACAGAGTCTGGGCCGGCGGGCCTTGGGTTCCTGCAGGAAGGGCAGGCCGGGACAGGGCCGACACCGTCGGAGTGGGTGTGAGTAGCCCTGGCCACGGTGGGGGGGCGGGGGCTGGTCCTGGTCCTGGCCGTGTGGGTCCTGGCGTGGGGATGGGCCTGGAGTGTGAGAGCCGGATAGCGGAGGGGTTCAGAGTGCGGCTCTGGCTCCAAGCGAGGTGTAAGCAACTGTGGCCAGTGGTCTGGCCCTGTGATTGACAGCTGGCAAATAAACAAGTACAGAATCCAGAAGAACACAGAACAGCGTTCACGTTCAGAACCAAGGGCCCCCGGGCTTTATGTAGTGAAAAGTTTGCAGCATCTCTGAGCGCTCGCGGCCTAATCTCCAGCCAGGGCCCCAGACCCAGGGGGCGGGGCTCGTCCCCGCATCTCCGGGTGATCAGTCCTCGGAGCCTGCAGAGGAGGGGCGGCACCAGGGCTGAAACCGCCAGACCTGCCTGCCGACTTCGGACGGCTCTGCCCGAAACCCAGGATCTCTGAGGCTCAGCACAACCTCAGTGTCACCTCCGTCCTGCTCATGTTTCCTCCACGCCTTTTCCCAGGAGCTGGGGCTGGACCCGAGGATGCAGATCAGGCCCGGGATGGGAGAGAGGGAGACCCCTTCGGTTCCAGAGGACCAGCCAGCTCTCTGGGAGTCGCCTTGGACTTCAGGATACACAGTGAGCCTGCGAGTGGGTTGCTGGGAGGGCGCTAGCCCCAGCCAGGAAGCCTGGGGGTCGGCATTTCTGTAAACGGGGAGGCAGGTGGGGAGGGAGGAATATGGGGCCAAACGTTGGGAACTGGGGACCCACTGGAGGCCGAGGTAAGAGCTGCTGAGCAGGCCCTAGAGTTCCTACATGGAAGGAGAGACCTTCAGGGTGGTGTCAGCCCAGAGCCTCCTGGGGGAGGGGCTAGCGTCCGGGTCCCTGCCTCTCCTGGTCCCACCTTTCCTCCTCCAGTCCCTCCACCCTCACTCCCACCCCGTCCATGACCGGGAACCCACAGGAACGAGCAAGTCCTAGGATCCAAGGGCTGGGTGAAGGGGCCAGGCTGGTGAAGCCCACGTGGCTCGGGGCCCTGCCTTTCCATCCTGAGGCGGAGAGAGCATCAGAGGACCCTTTCCAGCGTGCTCTGGGCCTGCCCTGAGAAGGCCCCTCACCTGCCCCTGTCCATCCCCTGCCTTGAGGGACCCGCCCTGTTTACTTCCCATCTGCCACCAAGTCTCTGAGGTTTTTCTCCAAACTGTGACCTGCCTCTGACTGCTCCCCTTGTCCCTGTTGCCACCACCCTGCCCAGAGCTGCCCTTAGTACTCCTGGACCCCGGGGCACTGCTCCTGACAGGCTCCTGCTTCCGCTGGCCCCGCCCCAGATGTGGAGGCCAGAGGCATTGCTTAGAAATGAAGTCCGGCAGACACTTTTTCCTAGGGGGTGGCCGCCGCAGAGGAGGGTTGAGATCCTTTCCCCACAGCAGGGCTTCCTTCTGGAATCACTTAGTCTCCCCACATGCACGGGGCCACCCCCATATCCTCCCAACGCCCGTCAATCTGCTGCCCAGCCGCTGCCCTCTGCTCCAGCGTTTCTCTCACAGCGGAAGGCTGCTTCCCCCACCCGGGCCCCTCTCTCCATCCCGTTTTGGAGTTGAAATTGTATCACAGTGATGGGCTTTGATTGAAGAATTGGGTAAACCTGGGTGAGCTAAACGGGCGATCCCTCCTTTTATGGTGTGCTCCCCAAGGCAGGGCCAGTCCCGCAGCTTCAGTCAGGGTGAAGAGCCGTGAGTGGATCCCGTCGACTGGGTGGCTCTAATGTGTTCCTCTCACTCTGTCCAGGAGCTGAAGGCGGCTGTGCAGATTCAGAGGGCGGCCATGCCTGTGCCTGCGCTGGGCCTCCCCAACTGGTGGGGGGCCGGTGGTTCTGGTGAGTGAGGCTGGGGGACTCCACAGCAGAGGCCCCCTGGGCTGGGTTTCTGGGAGCTTGCGCCTTCTGCCTCACCTCTGCCTGCAGGTGCTGTGAGGAGAGAATATGGGAAGTCGTCTCACGGTTTATGTGTTCCGGGGAGAGGTGTGTTCTCAGGATGGTGGGCTGGGAGTCGTGGGTTTTTTTTGGTCTTAGGTCTTTCTCTTAAGAGCGAGCAGGCCCCACTCAGCTGTGGCAAAGGGCAGACCTCTCCTCGGGCATGGTTAAATTCTTGAATACACATCACGTCAGTGCTGAAAACTAGAATTGAATTTACTGTAAATGGCAGATGTTTTAACTGAGCTTTTAGAAAATGAGATTAAAAGCTACATCTCCTGAGAAGTGGGGGAAAAAATTAATTCTGGAGGACAAATAACATCTTAGCTCTAATTACAAGGCATTTGTTTCCTTCCATCTTGCCTCCTAGTAAGATAATAAAGTTCGTTTCTTAACATCATCTTGCATTAGGGATCTGTATTGTATCACTGACAGGAAGCAATTGCTAGATTTATGCTGTGTATTGCTCTTCATGTATTTTTGGTAAGCCTTCTGGGCAAGGTTCTGCCTTGAAGTACTCTTGCAGTACTCAGAGTACTCTGTGCTCTTGAAGTACTCTTGAAGTGCTCTATGATTGTCCTCCCTTGGGCACTGGGAAACAATTGCAGACAGACCCCTGACCCCCTCCCCCACGGAGCTCACAGTCTGGCAGTCAGATTTTTAAATAAAGACCAGAATATAACGGAAGCATGTAATCTGATGACTTAGCTTGGGAGGGGGCTGGAGAAGAGTTCTGGGAAATTTAAGCTTGGGCCAGGGTTTTCCAGCCGTAGCATTACTGACATCGGGCCAGATCCTCCTCTGTGGTGGGGCGTCCTGTGCACTGTAGGATGTTGACCAGCATCCCTGGCCTCATTGGCCTTAGTTTGCTTGGGCACTATGGCACAGTGTCACAGACTGAGTGGCTTCAACCACAACAGTTTGTTTTCTCACCCAGAAGTCCAGGATCAAGGTGTTGGCAGGGTTGCTTTCTTCTGAGGGCCGTGATCTGTTCCAGGCGTCTCTCTGCTTGTAGATGGCCGTCTTCTTTCTGTGTCTTCTCTTTGTATGTGTCTTGTGTCCAGATTCCTTTTCTTATGAGGACACCAGTCATGTTGGCTTAGGGCCTGCCCTATGACCTGGTTTACTTTACCTACCTCTAAAGACCCTGTGTCCAAATACAGTTATGTCCTGAGATGCTGGGGGTTAGGACTTCAGCGTATGAATTCCCAGAGGGACACAGTCAGCTTACAATACCCCCTAGTCTTGACAACCGACAATATCTCCAGACTGCCCCCAATCCTGTGTTGAAGCTCTCACCCCCTGTGTGTATTGGAGACCAGGCCTTTAAGGAGGTGGTTCTGGTTAACTGAGGTCATAAGGGTGGAGCCCTGATTCTGTAGAACTTGTGCCCTTCAAAGAAGAGGAGGAGATGCTGGAGTGCTCTCTGCCCTGTGAGGACACAGAGAGAAGGTGGCCGTCCATGAGCCAGGAAGAGAGCTCTCAGGAGAATCCGACCCTGCTGGTTGACCCACTTGATCACCCAGCAGCAAGCTGTGACAGCACGTGTGAAGCGTTGTCTACCAGGGAGGCTCCTTAGAGACTCAGTGCCCAGCGTTTCCGCCGGGGGCTGGTCACATAGGTGCCCTCTGCCTGGCACAGACCTCAGTTCCAGGCTCCTGGAGGGAAGGCAGGTGTTGAGCATAAACTGCATCGTTTGTACAGTTGAAGCAGAGTGAGCCCCTCTTATTAGTTAAGGTGCTAGGAACCCTCCCCAAATCCAAATTCCTAGACACCAGCCCAGGGCTAGACTTGCCAGCAGGCCTTGCTATGGAGGGCAGTCAGGCCTGCTGTGTTAACTCTGGTCTGCACAGTGGGGAAGCATGGAATGATTTCAGACATCTGCAGGAGGTGGAGCCAGACAATTTGCTGAGCTGTGTATGCATTCATTTACCAGATGATGCATTTGCTGAGCCATGTACCAATTCATTTACCAATGTGTTTGCTGAGCCATGCACGTGTTCATTTATCAGACGATCCATTTGCTGTGTCATTCACCAATTCTTTTACCAGACGACGTGTTTGCTGAGCGATGCACGCGTTCACTTACTGGACGACGTGTTTGCTGAGCGATGCACGCGTTCACTTACTGGACGGGGTGTTTGCTGAGCCACGTACGCGTTCACTTACCGGACGACATGTTTGCTGAGCGAGGCACACGTTCACTTACTGGACAACGTGTTTGCTGAGCCATGCACGCAGTCACTTACCGGACGACGTGTTTGCTGAGCCAGGCACGCGTTCACTTACCAGACGGTGCATTTGCTGAGCCATGTACACATTCATTTGCCAGATAATCCAGAGCCTTATGTGCCATGCACGGTGTGGGGGATGTGGCCGTGAAAGGAAAAAGGACCCAGGCTGTTGAAGCTTCCTGTCCACTGAGGATGGTAAAAAGCAGACACATAGGAAGCAAATCAACATCTGGTTACAAATATGTAAGGGCTGTGAAGCAAGGGGGAAAAGGGTACTGGGGAGGAGATGTCAGGAAGGAGCTCCCTGAGGGAGTGACATTCAAGTGGGTCCAGAGCAGAAAGGTATGATGTGGTGTTAGCTGCAGCAGGCTGGGGGAGGGGGGAAGGCATGGGCCGGGGTGGGGGCTCCAGGTAGAGGTGTCAGGCTAGTTCATTTTGAGTAATTGTTGGGGTCTGTGGAGTGCCGGGTGAGATTTCTCGGCTGAGGCAGGGATGTCACTTCCTGAGATCAGGACCGTGGAGGAAGAAGAGGCTTTGAGAAGAAGGTGACGAGTGCAGTTTTTGGAGGGGGTGCATGAATCAAGTTTCTCCTCACCGTTGTGAAGCCAGAAGTCTGAGATGAAGGTGCCGGCAGGCCAGGCTCCCTGTGCAGCCTGTGGGGGAGAATCCTTCCTTGCCTCCGTCCTGGCGTCAGGTGGTGCTGCCATCCTGCTGCTCCTTGGCTTGTAGAGGCCTCGCTCCTGTCTCTGCCCGCATCCTCAAGCGGCCCTCTGCCCTGTGTCCCTTCTCCTCTTGTAGGGGCATCTGTCACATGGGATTAAGGGCCCATGCTGCTCCACTGTAACTTCTGAACTGCTTACATCTGCAGAAACATGCTTCCAAATAAGGTCACATTCTGAGGGACTGGGGTTAGCACTTCAGAATTTTTTAGGGGACAGTTCAACCCATAAAAGCCTGCCCTCTGGCTCCCCAAAATTCATATCCTCTGCACATGGAAAATACATTCGCATGGTCCCAACATCCCCAGAGGTTTTACCCATTCCAGCATCCACTCTAAGGCCTAAATCTCATCTAAATATTATCAACTCACAATGTCCCAAGTCAGGTCATACAAATCATCTGCAGCAGGCATGGGTGGGACTGGGCGTGCGATCCATCCTGAGGCAAAATCCCTCTCTACTTGTGGACCTGTCAGACCAGAAGACAAATCCTCTGCTTCCAAAATGCAGTGATGGGACAGGCACAGGGTAGATGGCTCCTCCCAAAGGCAGAGGACAGAGGGGTCACGGCTCCTGAGCAAGCACAGCCCAGAAGGGCAGGTTTGAGGCCTGAGGATAATGCTCTGTGGCTCGAGGCTCTGTCCTCCGGCTGCTGGCCCGTGGCACCATCCTTAGCTTGCTTTGGGTAAGTCCGTTTGCGTTCCTCCGACAGGTGGTGGAGATGCTGGAGCTGACGGTTGGGTACCTGGGTCTGGGGTTCGGGTGACAGTTCCGCTGGGGATTTGGGCATCATCAGGTGGAGTTGGGAATTGACACCCAGAGTGGGCGAGGCTGCCTACAGAGGCAGAGAGCACTGAGGAAGGTGAGGAGGGTCTGTGACCTGGGGACACCAGCGTTGTGATGGGAGAGGAACTTTAGCGAGACTGAGAAGAAGGAGGGGTGCGGACACTGGAGCCCAGGGAGTGTGGGCTTCTGGCTGGAGGAACTGGGTGACCGAACGTCCTGGCTGGATCCCCACCATGGATGAAGGTCACTGGTGATCCTGGTGAGGTGCTGGTTCTTGGAGTGGTGCTGATGGGAAGTGAGTGGGAGGTGAGGAAATGGACACAGAGAGGGTCAATTGTCTGTAATAGGACAAGCAAGAGGTAGGACAGCAGTCTGAGGGAAAAGTGGAGCGTTATGGCCTGAATTGTGGCCCCTCAAAACATATGTTGAAATCCCAACCCCAGGACCCTTGAACGTGACCTTACTTGGAACTAGGGTCTTTGCAGCTGCTGTCAAGTTAAGATGAGGTCACGAGGGTGGGCCGTGATGCAGTATGCTTGTGTCCTCCTAAGAAGCAGAAAACGCCAGGTGAAGGCAGGTAGGCACAAGGGAGAGGATGGCCATGTGACGACCAAAGCAGACAATGGGGGGTCGCAGCTGCAAACCAAGGAATGCCCAGGGTCGACAGCCACCCCCAGACGCCAGGAGGGGTCTACCCAGGGTCTCAGGGAGCATGGCCCTGCTGACACCTGATCTCAGACATCTGGCCTCCAGACCGGGAGAGTACAAGGCCTGTGGTTTGAAGGCCTCAGTTTGTGGTCTGTCACGGCAGCTTCAGGACGCTAATGGGTGGGCTGGGGATTGGCTGCGGTTCAGGGTTACTCACTGAGGGACGGTCCCGTGGGGAGCGAGGCGAGGGTGGAGTGGCAGGGCTGGTCGGGCGGCACTTGCTCACCTGGAAGAGTCTGGAGTGAAGAGGCCGGTGCGGGAGAGAGGAGGTCCCTGTCTGAGGGCACTGAGGGGCGGATGTGTCCTCTTGGGCAGACTCGCGGGGTGTGGTGGCATCTGCCCCTGCCTGTGGTATGTCCTGGTGGTGCTGGCCAAGCAGAGCGGGCAGGGGGAGGGGCTGGGCAGCAGGGAAGCTGCCGGGCTGTCACGGGGGCGCAGGCGCTGCGGAGACTCCAGGCTGCTGGCGATTTGAGGCTGGGGCTCCGGAGACTGGGCATGGAGGAAACATGTGTGTGCGTGTGCACACGCATGTATGTGCATGTGTGTGTATATTTCTGTGTGTGCTCACCTGTGTGTGTATGCGAGGTGTGTCTGTGTGTACGTATTTGTATGAGCGTATGCATGTGTGCATACTCGTGTGTGAGTGTGCATAAGCACATGTGAGTGTGTGCAAGCATGTGCATGTGTGTCTCTACAGTTCCGGGGTGTGTCCCCGTGAGTGTGTACACTTGTGGTGACTCACAGTCAGGGTGTGACCTTGGTCCTGCCAGAGTGCTCACTGGGCCACTTGCTGGCCCTCACGGCGCCCATCTTCCCCTCCAGCTCTGCCTGCCCAGGACCCCATGCGGCACCAGGAGGCCAGTGCAGAGGAAGCAGCCATGACTCCTGGGGTGCTGACCGCCTGCCCACAGGTCAGTAGGAAATCCCCATTGCTCTTCTTCCTTGCTTTGCCCTCTTGTCCGCTTCCTGTGGCCTTTTGCTTCTCGACCCCACAGGGTTGGTCTCCAGGCTTCAGGCATGGGGCCTCTGGCAGGGGTGGGCAGCGACCCCACCCCTCAGTCAGACCTGCCACAGGCTGTCTGTGCTGTGTTCCACTGAGTGTCAGGAAGGGAAGCAGAGTGAGGAGGTGAGCTCTTCTGGTCTCATAGTCGTCATGGTCTCCTGGAGCAAAAATTGCCATCCCTCAGATGTTTCTCTCCTGTCTGCAACAGGCAGGTCTGCTGGACTCGAGCTGGCGGGAACCAGTCTGCAGGGGCTTCCTGGCTGCTTGTCCACAGCTGAGCCTGTCATGAGGCCGAGGGCCTTCGCTGCCACAGTCCTGGATGTTCTCACTCAGGGAGGGAAGAGGAGAGAGAGAAGTTACAGCTCTGAGGCCTGAGCTGAGGGGTGATGTTCAGAGACCTCAGGACCCTGTCTAGAAATCCTCTGCGTGGGGTCTCCTTTCGCCAGGCCGCCAGCCCCCAGCATCCTCTTGAGTGTTGGTGGCAGTGGCCTCTGGCTTAGCTGTGCTCCATGTGCGTTTAGGAACTGGTCACCTTCGCAGATGTGGCCGTGCTGTTCACTCCAGAAGAGTGGCTGTTTCTAGACTCTGCTCAGAGGAGCCTGTACAGAGACGTGATGCTGGAGAACTATAGGAACCTGGCCTCCGTGGGTAAGGCTGCCCCACGTTCTCGTGCAGGCTCTGTGTTCCCAGAACTGTGCTGGGTGGGCAGTGGAGAGGTGGGGACAGGCAGCCCTGCCCCGTGGTGCTTGCAGTCTAGTGGCTTCCCCAAGGAGATGAGGATCTCTGCCGCTCTGTTTCTCCATGGCTAAAAGCTCTGGGCTTCTCAAGTTGTCCCTGGGCTGGGCCCTGGGTTTTGGGGACCAGAGAGTCCCAGTGTCCTCAGGGACCTGGTGAAGGAGCTCATATTTTGGTTCCTCAGTGAGAGAGCTTCACGTGTCCGTCAGAACTTACGCTCACCCCTTGCTATTTCAGTCCCCAGTGCCCTAAGATGCGGATCAGTGGCCCCGGTTTCATGGCAGGCGCAGTCTGCCCACACTCTGCGTCTTTTCCCATGAGCAGGAGATCAGCTGTGCACACCCAGCACCTTTGTTCATTTGGAGCAAAGAGAGGAGCCGTGGACCACCGAGAGAGGACTGTGCCCAGGAGCCCGTCCAGGTGAGCACCAGGTGGACTGGGTGGGCACCAGCTCTGCCCGGCAGGGTGAGCGTTGGCTCTGGAACTTGTCCGTAAGGGGACACTGTGGCGCCCTTGATGGAGAAGGCTGTCTGGCTGAGCATCCTCAGTGAGCCCCTCGTTCTTTTTTGTCTCTAATGCTTTACTCTGGTTTCGTAGAGAGACTTGTTCTACCTCCTCTCACATTTAGTTATTCCGTGCGTCTATTTCATCCCGTTCTTCCCCACTCTGTGTTCTTGCTAATCCTTTCTCTAACATCAGTCCCGATCTTCATGGAACCCTTTCTTAGTAAGTTATCCTCTGTTTCCATCCCTTGTTCCTATGATTACATAACTCCTCACAAAGCCCAATGTCAAAAAGCTTTCCTTTACTGTGATATATTCTTCACAATTTCTTCCCATATTTAGGATCAGTAGTAAAAAACAACCCACACGTGCCTTGCTTGCGTTTTGGATCACTTTGATCCTACTTTCCTTCTCTGCACACTTAATTTTCTTTCCCCTAATTCATTTCAGAATCTCAACTTCAACCGCAAGATTCACTTGCTAACCACGATATTTCTGTGGAGATTCCATCCATTGGCGCGCAGAGGGTAAGGCACACAGGGATGGCTCTTGGTGCTCTGGGGCTGCTGTAGGTTGGGACGCAGTGTGAGAGCGCTGGAGAGGCTCGGGCGGGCGGTGGCCCGCCCGGAGGAAGCAGCTTCCCGGGAGGGGCCTGGGAGGGTCCTGAACTGGGGGAAAACTGGAGGTAGGTCAGATGCGTCTGCACAGAGGTCCTGCCAGTAGCCGTTTGCGCAAGTGTGAACAGATGCTAAGTGTTCAGACTTAGTTTAGCCTTAAGCCATCGGGACCCTGCCTCTGCGGAGCACCTGGGAGTGAGGGGCGCGGGCTCCTGGGGCAGCACTTGCCCTGGAGAGGGCTCAGGGCGCCCGGGGCCGGCGGTCGCGGCCGCAGCTGGGAGGCCGTCCCCGCGCCGGTTCGCTGGGGGAGCCGCCCTCCGAGCGCATTTCAGCCTTCCTCCCGTGTCTTCCTTACTCGTAGGCGCGGGCTGTGGCTGGAGAGCAGCTTCATAAACACGCCGAACTTGGGGCACCCCTTCCCGTCGAGCCGCTCTGTCCGTCCCAGAGGATTCCTGCCGGCGGGGACCCGTGCGGATGCCGTGGGCGTGGCGAGGCCTTCCTCCAGATGGGCCTCATGGCGCCGGAGAAGGCGGGGGGCGGGGACAAGGCCCTCGCCTGCGGCCAGTGTGCCAAGTCCTTTCGGTACAGCTCGGACCTCGCCCGGCACGCGCGCACGCACAGCGCGGAGAGGGGCTTCGCGTGCCGCGAGTGCGGGCGTGCCTTCAAGTGCCCGTCCAACCTGCGGCGCCATGCGCGCGCGCACACCGGCGAGAAGCCCTTCGCGTGCGCCCAGTGCGGCAAGGCCTTCACGAGGAACTTCAACCTGCTGCTGCACCGCAGGAGCCACACGGGCGAGAAGCCCTATGCGTGCCCGGCCTGCGGGAAGACCTTCAACCAGCCGTCGTCCCTGCGCAGCCATGCGCGCACGCACACGGGCGAGAAGCCATTCGCGTGTGCCCACTGTGGCAAGGCCTTCCGCGAGCCCTCGTCGCTGAAGACGCACCTGCGCACGCACACCAGGGAGAAGCCGTACGCGTGTGAGCAGTGCGGCAAGCCCTTCCGCACCAGCACGCACCTGAGCGTGCACCGGCGGGTCCACACGGGCGAGAAGCCCTACGGCTGCGCCACATGCGGGCAGGTCCTGAGCCGCCTCTCCACGCTCCGGAGCCACATGCGGACGCACACTGGGGAGAAGCCGTACGCGTGCCAGCAATGCGGGCGCGCCTTCAGTGAGCCCTCGTCCCTCCGGAAGCACGTGCGCACCCACACGGGCCACAAGCCCTATGCGTGCCAGCAGTGCGGGCGCGCCTTCGGCCAGTCCTCACACCTGACGGTGCACGGGAGGACGCACACCACGGGCAGACCCTATGCGTGCACGCAGTGTGAGAAGGCCTTCCGGCACAGCTCCTCGCTGGCCGTGCACAGACGGGCTCACGCCGCCGCCAAGAAGACGTGAGCAGCGGGCCTGCCTGCCAGCGCCCCATCCATGCGTGCCCCTCGCCGTTAACTTCCAGTTTGTGAAAACAGAAGCATTCGTCTCTCAGTGTTCGTTTAGCTACATCGTATGTTTCCATGTCTAATATTTTCAGTTTGACTTAGTTCTAAATATTGTCTTAGTTTCTATTATCACTTATTCTGTGACCCATGAGTTATTTGTAATTAAATTTTGTTTTATTTTATCATTCTTTTTGCTGAGGAAGAGTTGCCCTGAGCTAACATCTGTGCCAGTTCTCCTCTCTTCTTTTCACGTGGGAGCCTCCACAGTGTGCGGAGTGGAGAAGGTCTGCGCCTGGGATCCGAACCTGCGAACCTGGGTCCCTGAAGCGGAGTGGGTGGAACTTTAACCACCTGATCATGGGGCCGGGCCCTGTAATTAGATTTTAAAATAATAGCACATGGGTGTATTTTTATGAGGTGTAATTGCTTCTAGTAATATGCATAGATCCCATGTGTACAGTCGGATGAGTTTGACAGGTATATACACACTGTAACCAAGACCCCATTCAAGATACAGAGCATTTCTGTCATTCTGGAAAGTTCCTGCATGTGCATGGCTGTTTTTTAGTTGCCTTTTCATTGTTGGTTTCCAGTTTAATTACATTGTGAGCAGAGCACGTGTTCTTTATGTTAATGAATCTTAGGTGTCTGGAGGTTTGCTTGTAGGGCAAGTGTGGCTGGGCTGCCAGCTGCCTACCAAGACCGTGCCCTCTGCCTTACAGACGCGCGGGTGTTTGTTCAGATGGCAACGTGCTCGATTAAGCGGTCTCCCAGCCCTTCTTACAGTCAGGGGGGCCACGTGCCCTGTGTGGGTACAGGGTCACTGGATGTGCTCCTGGGAAAGGCGTGGCCAAGGAGCAGTTAGCCACATCCCTCCACGTCTTTGTGTGAGCAGGCACGGTGTCCAGACCACGGGAGCCGGGCTGTAGTCACACGTCACAACCATCCTGGTGCCCCGCTGGGGCCTGCGGCTGCACCAGCCTGAACTCTTTGTTTCTGGACAACCTGTTAAGTGAGCAAGAAGACTTCCACTGGTAATGACATTGTCCTTTTTGGGTGGGGGAGAGAGGGTGGGGATGGTTGTTAGGGCTGGATGCAGTCTCTAACGCAGGTTATGGTCGGTTTTATAAAGGCTTCATGGGTGGGTGAAATCCACGTATTGTGTTCTCCATCCACCAGATCGAGTGTATGATTTGTGTTTAGAAATCTACAGGTTTATAAATATTGGTCTTTGTCTTTGGTTGCTATCACAAATACCATAGATGGGGTGGCTTGTAAGCAACGGAAATTTATTTCTCCCAGCCCTGGAGGCTGGAAGTCCAAGATCAAGGCACCTGCAGATCCCGTGTCTGGTGAGAGCCGCTTCCTGGTTCACAGACGGCCGTCTCATCGCTGTGTCTTCACATGGAAGGGGCGAGGGCGCTCTCTGGGGTCTCTTATAAGGCCGCTAATCCCATTCACGAGGGCTCCACCCTCATGATCCCATCACCTACCAAGTCTCGCCAGCACTCAGGTTGGGCCTCAGCATAGGAAATTTTGGGACACATTCAGTCCACAGCATCTCTGATCTGTTATTTACTGACAGGACACTCCCACCATGATTGTGCATTGTTGAATAAATCTTGTAATTCTGTCAATTTTTAAATTTATATATTATAAAGTAATGGAATTAAATGAAAAGATTTTGACTTTTATAAGTTTACAGCAAATTGTTCCTTTTATCTTTGTGGTGGCCATCTTTCTCCCTAGTGATGAATATTCAACTGTTCATCATCCTCATATCAAGTAATGATTTAGAGCTCACTATGCATAGGTACTAGGTTCTGTCTAAGCTCTGCGTCTCATGAGGGACTTAGTCCTCTAGGTGATACCTGTGGGTGGGCCCTGTTGTCATCCCCAGTTCATGATGATGAAACTGGGGCCCAGAAGGTCGAGGTGCGTTGACCAAGGTCGTGCTGGTGGTGAGTGGAGGAATCTGGCTCCACGGTCCGTGCTCTCTCCACAGGGCTTCCCCCAGGGGCTGCTCTCCATTTCCACCTGTGCTCACAAGCTTCTGTTTTGTGTTAAAATTCTTCCAACTGAGATGGAACTTGTAAAAGTTCATAAATCTTAGTGCACAGCTTGGAGAATTTTATATATATCTTTACCACCCAGATCAAGACATAAAGTAAGTGATCTCCCCAGAAGGGTCTTTTGGGCCCTTCCCCAGTCAGTCAGCCACATCCCTGGAGGCAGCCAGGATCATAACTTCTGTCACTGTAGATGTGTTTGTCCTGTCCATGGACAGGGAAGCACAGGATGCCCTCTGGTGTCTTTTTTTCACTTAATGTAGTGTTCATGAAATTTCTCTTTGTTGCATTATCCGTAGTTTATTCTTTTTAAAGATTGCTGTGTAATCCTCCGTCGTCTGCATACACCGCAGTTAAAGAATTCCGTCCTGTTGGTGGACACTTGGGTTCTTTCCAGGTTTTGCTGTTATGAGCAAAGCTGCTGTGCATGTTCTTGTGCAGGTCCGACTGTGGACATGTGTTCTCGTTTCTCCTGGAGTGGAGCTGCTGGGTCGCGGGCAGGCATGTCTGTAGCTTCAGGAGATATTGGCAAACACTTCCAGAGTGGTTGAAACAATTTGTGTTACCCTCATCAAGGAACGCAAGTTTCATTGGCTTCACATCCTCAACCATACATGCTTCTGTCCGTCAGTTTCATTTTCGCTATGTTAGTGGTGAGTGAGGGGTTTCTTGGGTTTGTGTGCGTGTCTTGGTGAGTAATGGCATGGTAGATGGTTGCCACAGTGACTTCTGCCAGCCCTCCATGTACATCTCTTTTCCATGTGCCTTTGCTGCTCCTCCTATCAAGAGGTGGAGCTTATTTCTCTACACCTTGAAGATGAGCTTGACCAGGGGACTTGCTCTGGCTGGTGGAACGTTGTCAAACATGATGGAAACAGAGGCTTGAAAAACCTCCTTGGGCACCGGCGTTGGCCCTCTTGTAGCTGTGGTTAGATTCCTGAGAGCCGAGCCTGGAGAAGCCCGGGTGAGCCTCCTCCAGGACGCCAGACCTCGCTACCCACGCCAGACTGGGGGTGAGGCGGCCATAGGCCATCTGCCCCAGGCTAGCCACCAGGTGGCTGGACCACGTGAGCGGCCCCAGGTGAGACCACCGGCAGAACCGCGCGGCTGGGAGCGGCTCAGATCCCGGCTCAGCATCATGAGGTGGTCACGCCAGCAGTGGGTAACTGACAGGTCAGGGTCGGAGACAGGATGCTGCTGGGACAAGAACCCGAAATGTGGCCTTGATGTTGGAACTCGGCGGCAAGACAGCGGCTGAAAGGGGTGAGGAGACCTCAAGGTGGGAGGAGGTGCTACCGCAGGTTGGAGACAGGCTGTGTGGTCATGTGGTCGGGGCGCCATGGGCACAAGTGTCTGCGGCGACTCGGAGCATGGAACGTGTCCTCTGTGCTCACTCATCTGGAGGAGGGGGCTCCCTTCGCCGCCTCTGCCCCCGCCTTCCCCATGGGCGCCTCTGGTGGTCCGTGAAGAGTCCTCTGCCGCGGCTCCCGGGTCGCCTCCCCTCCACCAGCCCAACGCGGCCTTCGGCACCCGGGTGAGCATTTCAGCAGAAACCTCGCGCCCCGCAGGGCAGCCTGTGCTCCTGTGCGTCTCTTCCCAGGTTTCAGGCTCTCGGGTGCCTGTGACCTCGGCTTTCTGATGGCTTCAAGAAAATGACGTTTTTGTCAGTTATTCAGCCTTTCCTGGATGTGAGCCCTACCAGGTCTCTACGTCCAAGGCAGAAGCCAGAGACGGGGTTCTTTACTCCCTAAATCACACTGCTTTTGGGAATCGCTTATTGGGTTTTATCTTCTCTTTTCTGTAAGCTCCTGAGATGAGAGACCACGCAGAGCCCCTTCCTTTAAGCCTAACTTAGAGCTAGGCAGAAAATACGCTTTCAGCGCGCGTGTCCAGTTTAGACGCCTTCCTATGGAGCAAGTGTCTCCGGGAGGAGGGCGCGGCCCCGCCTTCCTGCCTGGCACATGCCCCAGGAGGAGCGCGCGGCCCCGCATTCCTACCGGGCACGTGTCCCCAGGAGGAGCGTGCGGCCTCTGAGCCGCGAGGCTGCAGGTCCTGCGGGCGGGCCCTCCCAGCACGAGTCGAAGCCACGGCCTTGAAATGCGTGCCGCCTTGCGGTCCACAGAGGGAGGAGCGCGCAGTGCGTGGCCCTCACGGGAACGTCGTCAGGGGCGGTTCCTGGGCGTCCACATGCGTCTGAGGCTGTGCTCAGACTCGACAGGACAGAAGGAGTGTGTGAGGATCAACGATTCCCGGAGAGGGCTGACCCACCCGCCACACCTTCACAGGACACCCTTCCCGAGAAGGGGGATTCTGGAACCTGGGCTGGAGACGGTGGGCACTCTGGAGGGGCAGGCGAGGGGAGCAGGGCTTCAGGGAACGCTGGAGGCCCCCTTTGCTCTATTGTGTGGATTCCTTTTTCTTTTTGCAGTGACTCTTCTGTCAGAAAAAGCCGCTGGTGGGCCACGTTGTTAGATGAGATGTTGCCGGCTGAGAGCATCTTCCTTTGGTGAAGCGCCGGGCCCTGGCGCGGATCCCCTGAAGCGGGCGGCAGAGGGCGGTGGAGGCAGGACTGCAGGCGGCAGACGTGCTCCTCATGGACTTTCATGCTCCGATTGGGAGTCCTGCGTTTCCCACAAGGGAGGCCTGAGGAAGACCATGCCCTTCCCTGGAAGAACGTGGGTTGCAGGCTCAGTCTGCTCCAGGCTTTGCTTCCTGCTCTCTCAGTGTCCTTTGGTCACATGACCACTTCACATTTATATTTTTTCCTCTCCACCTTTTGACTCCTCTTGTCCCGATTTCCCAAACACCAGATCCTGGATGACCATCTTCTCTGCCCAGCAACACTGGGCACCCAGCTAGGCTCTCTACCCAAGTTGTTTTGTGTTTCATTTTCTGCTTTTCTTTGCATCTGCTCTGGTTATACTAATTAAACAAGAGAGTGATTTAGTAGAAGGAGCACAGGCTTTTCCAGTAGAGAGCCCAGAAGCTAATTCTTGGCCCTGTCAGTTAATAGTTTTGTGATAGGAGACAAGTTTCTTCATTGATGTTCAATTTAGAGAGTTGTAGGAACCCTTTGGTGAGCTAGTCATGAAGCTTCCTTTCGGGGGCACAGTCCCATCCCATGCTTCCTTGTCAATAGGAAGCCTGAGCCACCACCCAGTAGGCTGGCTGTACGTCCCCGGTGAGGCCAAGAGTGAAAGCAGAACTGGGGGTGTGTTAATCACAGGAGAGGGAGAAAGCATCTGTGCTGGCTGTTTCCTGTGTCAGTTACCGAGGGAGCCCGCACGTGAGAATTCTCATGTGCTTTGTTTGAACAGGAAATATTTTTTACTTAACATCAAAGACAGAAATTCTCCACAGCTGAGCTTGATCGCCTCTGCACTGTGAGAAGTTATTGACCATTTCTCCCAGGTAGGTGGAATCATAACTTTGTGTATGGCCCATTTCAAGACATTTGGGAATGTTGAAGAACAGGAAAAACTAACCGATGGTGGGAGAAGTCGGGGTAGTGGCCACCGTGGGGGGTTGTCGACTAGGTAGATGGAGGGGACTTTCTGAGGGCCTGGAAGTGTTTTATGTCTTGATTTCTTGGTTATGTGGGTTTACACACGTGAAAAGACTTCACTGGGCTGGGAATTCATGATCTGTGCGCGTCACACGCCTCACTGAAGGTGGTGACCCCCCGCCCCCCGACGGTGTGGGAAGTATTTATCCAGTTTGAGAATCTTTTCTATTATTTTTGCTTTTTTCCTGACTTGTTTTTGCATTATCTTAAAATAAAGGGGAAAATAAAGACGACTTTATTTTTATCAGCATCTCAGAGAGAAGAGGCTGCTGCTTGGGTCCAGGGAAAGACTTGGAACTTATATGGAAATTTTTCATTTTTTCACCCATGTAATTGTTGCTCATAGGATCAAACCCCATAAATCTATGGCCTCTCCCTTCCCAAATGTGTTAAGAAAGGTCTGATGGGGTGAGTCTGTCAGCTCTTTGTGGGCTGTGGGTAATTCGACAGACAATAGTGTAAAATTGAGGAGCTCTTCCTTGAGATGTCAACCTGGGTTTCTATATTCTTCCTTTTCCGCTGGTGCCTGGCGGAGTAGCTAGCACACAGCTGGTGTTCAATTAATGCTTTCTAATTTGTTTCCTGATTGTGAGGAAACATTTGTCCCTTAGGTGGCCTCAGTTATTATTGGCCTGCTATGGGGAAGGCAGTCTGAGTAGTGGCCATGTTTGCTGTGCAGCTGCTGTGTGTGAAGCATTGACCCGTACACTGTGGAGATGGGAACAGGATGGAGGCAAATCGAGTGCCTTTGCAGAACTAAAAAGTGAGATGTTTACAGAGGGTACACTCAGGAGTCCATGATGCAAGCAATACGTAAAATCACATAGCATATATTATGCCAGAACTCATTTATTTCCTATGCTCGGGGTCACATTTTAGGAAAGAGCTTAATGAGAAAAGGGAAATGAAATTGCTTGAGGAGTTTAGAATTTCAGTCTCAAAAGAAAATTTGGAATAGATCATTGGAAACACATTCAGTCATAACAGATTTCATTCATAGTTGAAAAGAAGCGGATTTCAAACCATAATACTAATCTTAGCGTGTGAATACTCCTCCTAAGAGTCGTTAACACTTACTGAGATAGACCACACGAGAGTCACTCAATGGAGCAGATTAAGACCGTGCCCCACTCAGCACACGATGGCCCTGCTGTATGAGCGTGCCCCCCTCAGCCCACACGATGGCCTCGCTGTGTGAGCGTGCCCCCCTCGGCCCACATGACGGCCCCCCTGTGTGAGCGTGCCCCCCTCGGCCCTCACGACGGCCCTGCTGTATGAGCGTGCACCCCTTGGCCCACACGACAGCCCTGGTGTATGAGCGGCCCCCCTCGGCCCACATGAGGGTTCTGCTGTATGAGCGTGCCCCCCCCAGCCCACCCAACGGCCCAGGTGGGAGCTGCTGTTATTGTCCTAATTTTATGGATGAGGAAGCTGAGGCACAGAAAGGCTCAGGAAGTTTCTAAAGACACACATATAGTAAGTGATGGAACAGGATTCCCAACCAGGGAGCCTGGCTCCAGAGCCTGTGTCCTGGATTCCAATCCAAGTTACAGGTTGGATATGTTTCCTGTTGCTGATGTAGCAAATCGTGGCGAACTTGGCGGCTTAGAACAGCAGAAGCGATGGGGGCATCTTCTCTCGCAGCTCTGGAGGCCAGAGTGCAAAGGCTCCGAGAGCTCTGGGGGAGAATCCCTCATCGCCGCTCCCACCCTTAGTGGCCCCAGATGTCCCTTGGCCTGTGGCCGCATCACCCCAGGTTCTGCCTCTCTCTTCCCTTGGCCATCTTCCCCTCCATGAGTCTCACGCTGTCCTCTCCTCTCATAGGGACGGCAGTCCCTGGATTAGGGCCGCCTGCTCAACCTGGGCTGGCCTCATCCTGAGATCCTTAACTAATTACACTTGCAAAGACACGTTTTCAAATAAGGTCACATTCTGAGGCTCTTGGCAGACATGAATTTTTTGAGGATCCTATTTTTTTATGCTTCTCCTGCAAGCCAAGGAGAAGCTCTCGCCAGAAACCAGCCCTGCCAGCACGTTGATCTTGGACTTCCACGCTCCAGAACTGTGAGAAAAGAGATTCCTGTTGTTAAAGCCACACAGTCTGTGGTGTTTTGTTATGGCCGCCCCAGCAGATTCGTACACTGCTCAACCCACTACACAGGTGATCTGCAGTCGGGGCAAGCACAGACTGAGTTAGCCATACTGTCGCTCTTCACTCATCTTTTCTTTTCTCTCTATCCCACAGGGAACCCACCCCAACTGGGTGACCTTAGGGCCCTTGCACAGGCGGCTCCAGCACCACCTGCTGGCTGGGACTGGGGAGGGCTGAGAAGAGTGGGCTTTCAGATCTGTCAAAGAGTTTTCTTTGTGGAAGAGCTGACATTTAGGCCTGGCTTAGAAAGGATGGTTTCTTAGCTGGGGTTGGGGCCTCCTGGAGGCAGGAACAGTGTGAAATAAGTCCTGGCCTTCCCACACTCAGGTGTGAGTGGAGCACAGTCTGGTAGGGAGGGGAAGATGAGGCTGAGGGGGTAATTTAGAGCCTCACCAAGGAGAATTCTGGTACGGGGTGTACTGGTTATTAATGGCTGCCTTACCAATTTCCCCCAAACTCAGCAGCTTAAAACGGCACTTATTTATCATATGGCTTTCTCTGTGCCACGAGTGTGGGAGTGGCTTAGCTGTGTCCCCTGCTCTGAGTCCCTCACCAGGCTTCAGTCAAGCCACCTGCCGGGGCTGCCGTCTCATCTAAAGGCTTGACTGGCGAGGATCCACTTCCAGGCCCGCCCTCGTGATCGCTGGCAGGCGTTGTCTCGGTCCAGCCTGTTGACAGCAAGTGACTCTGTTGTCTGGGAAGCCCTGAGGCCCTCACCTGGGCCACACTGCTTGTGGCAGCCCCACACTCTCCCTGGATGGTGCCAGTGTTGTGACTGGTTCACCCCTCGCGTCTCTTATTGTGACTGCAGGACACACTTCAGCAGGAAACCCTCAGGGAACTTTGAGGAACAAGATTCATTACTCACAGGTCCTGGAGGATGCACGGCACGCCCGAGGCTGCCCGGTGAGTTCTGGGGTAGACGGAGAGTGCACACGGAACTGGGGCGCTGCCTTGATTAGGGCCCAGGACCGGGGTGTCTGGGGTTTTCAGGGTTCACTCTTTTTTGGCTAATTTAAAGCATAAGAGTGGGAATTAGAGTGTGGGAAGGGAGAAGTGGGGTCCCTCAAATGGTCAGTTATCTGGGTCACCCAGGGCTTTCTGAAAGAGGGGCCTTCATGGGTGGGGGCAGCCTAATTCCTCGTCTGGTGGTTTGGCTGGCGGCTGTGCCACACGGCTGCCAATATGCTTATTCAAGATGCATGTCTTTTAAAATGGATACCTTGGGTCAAAAGCTTAATGTCAGGCTCTTACACCAGCGTGGACTTCAGTTCCCTGCTGGCTGTTGGCTGGAGGTGTCTGTCAGTTCTTTTTTTAAAATTTTTTGGAATAGCTTGAAAAGGATAGGTGTTAAATCCTCTCTGAAAGTTTGGTAGAATTTCCCAGGAAAGCCATCTGGTCCTGGGGTTTTATTCTTTGGGATGCTTTTGGTTGCTGTTTCAATCTCTTTCCTTGTGATTGGTCTGTTCAGATTGCCTGGTTCTTCTTGACTAAGCTTTGGGAGGGAGGTTGTAAGAGTATAAGAATTTATCCATTTCCTCTAGGTTATCCATTTTGTCAGCATATAGTTTTTCATAGTATTCTCTTATAATCTGTTGTATTTCTGTAGTGTCTGTTGTTATTTCTCCTCTTTCATTTCTGATTTTGTTTATTTGAGCTTTCTCCCTTTTTTTCTTTGTAAGTCTGGCTAGGGGTTTGTCAATTCTATTTATCTTCTCAAAGAACCAGCTCTTTGTTTCATTGATCCTTTCTACTGCCTTTTTTGTTTCAATAGCATTTATTTCTGCTCTGATTTTTATTATTTGTCTCCTTTTGCTGACTTTGGGCTTTGTTTATTCTTCTTTCTCTAATTCAGTTAGGTGTAGTTTAAGATTGCTGATTTGGGATTTTTCTTGTTTGTTAAGATGTGCTTGTATTGTGATGAATTTCCCTCTTAATACAGCTTTTGCTGTATCCCTCATAAGTTGGTATGGCATGTTATCATTTTCATTTGTCTCCAGATATATTTTGATTTCTTCTTTAATTTCTTCACTGATCCATTGCTTGTTCAATAGCGTATTGTTTAGTCTCCACATCTTTGTCCCTTTCCCAGCTTTTTTCTTGTAATTAATTTCTAGCTTTATAGCATTATGATCAGAGAAGATGCTTGTTGTTATTTCAATTTTTTAAAATTTATAGAGGCTTGCCTTGTTTCCCAACATATGGTCTATCTTTGAGAATGTTCCATGCACATTTGAGAAGAACATGTATTCTGATGTTTTTGGATGGAGTGTTCCATATGTGGCTATTAAGTCCAACTGGTTTAGCTTTTTGTTAATTCCACTGTTTCCTTGTTGATTTTCTGTCTGGATGATCTATCCAATGATGTGAGTGGGGTGTTGAGGTCCCCTACTATTATTGTGTCATTTTTGATATCTTCTTTTAGGTTTGTTAATACTTGCTTTATGAACTTTGGTGCTCCTGTGTTGGATCCATAGATGTTTATAAGCGTTATTTCTTCTTGATGGAGTGTCCCTTTGATCATTATGTACTGCCCCTCTTTGTCTCTCTTTACCTGCCTTACCTTGAAGTCTACTTTGTCTGATATGAGTATTGTGACACCTGCTTTCTTTTGTTTGCCATTAGCTTGGAGTATCGTCTTCCACCCCTCACAGGCTCATGCCTGTATTTGTCATTGGAGCTGAGATGTGTTTCCTGGAAGCAAAAATTGTTGCATCTTGTTCTTTAATCCATCTTGCCACTCTGTGTCTTTTTATTGGAGAGTTCAATCCGTTTACATTGAGGGTGATTATTGATGTATGAGAGTTTAATGCTGTCATTCTGTCGCTCGTTTTCTGGTTTTCCTGCATTTCCTTTGTTTCTCATCCTATGTGTTTTGGTCTACCCATTGATTTCTGAAGTTCCTTATGCTGGGTTTCTTAGATTTTTCCTTATTTATTTTTTGTGTCTCTGTTCTGCTTTTTTGTTTAGTGGCTACCCTGAAGTTTGTATTCAGAATCTTGTGCATAACATTGTCCATTTTCTGATGGCCTCTTATTTCCTTAGTCTAAACTGATTCTGTCCCTTTCCTCCTCCCCTCCTAAGTTATTATTCTCATATCTCATTCCAACTTGTGTAGTGAGTTTGTGGTTAAAGTGACAAGATCATCTTTGTTTTTGTTGTTTTCCTTCCCTTTATCCTAATGCTATAGTTGAATATTTGCTATCCTATTCTGATTCTATCTATGTGTCTCTTTACTCTGTGTTTTGTGACCCGTTTCTCCCTTTTTTCAGGTATGAGGGCCTTCTTGAGGATTTCTTGTAGAGGGGGGTCTCATGGCTATGAAGTCCCTTAGCTTTTGTTTGTCTGGGGAAGATTAATTTCTCCCTCATATCTGAAGGCTATTTTTGCTGGATAGAGTATTCTTGGCTGGAGATTTTTATCTTTTAAAGATTTGAATATGTCATTCGATTCTCTCCTAGCTTCTAAGGTTTCTGCAGAGAAATCTGCTGGAAGTCTGATAGGGGGTTCCTTTCTAGGTTATTTTCTTCTGCCTTGCTGCCCTGAGTATTCTTTCTTTGCCATTCATTTTTGCCAGTTTTACTACTATATGCCTTGCAGTAGGTCTTTTTACATTGACAAATCTAGGAGATCTGGAAGCTTCCTTCACACACATTTCCCTCTCATTCCCTAGATTTGGGAAGTTCTCTGCTATTATTTCTTTGAGCATGTTTTCTGCTCCATTCTCCTTCTTGGATACCTATATTCTTATGCTGCATTTCCTGACTGAGTCGGATATTTCTCCAAAGCTTTCTTCACTTATTTTTAGTCTTAGTTCTCTCTCCTCCTCTGTCTGGAGCAATTCAACATGTCTATCTTCGATTATGCTGATTTGCTCCTCTATGGGGTCCACACGAGTATTCATGGAATCTGTATTTTGTTTTATCTCTTTCATCTCTAGTATTTTGATTGATTCTTCTTTATAGTTTCAATCTCTTTTGTGAAGTAGCTCCTGAACTGGTTGAATTGTTTCTCTATATTCTCTGTTACCTCATTGAGTTTTTTGATGATAGCTATTCTGAATTCATTGCCATTTAGTTTACTTATTTCTGAGTCCTCAGGACAGAATTCTGGGTATTTATTGTTTTCCCTCCGGTCTGGAGATTTGATGAACTTCTTGATGCTGAAACTACGTGTTTTCCCCATTGTGATGTTATTCAGTTGCAGTTACAGCCTATCGCCACTGGATGGGGGTCAGGAGCCACATAACTGAGCCCTCCGCCTTCAGCAGAGATGGGCCAGTGGGTTCGGGTCAGGGGAAGGGCGCTTTCTCCTGCATGCAGACCCAGTTTCCCAATCAGCTCTCACTATCTGGTCTCCTGGGATCTTGGCTTGGTGAGGTCACCCCATGTGAAAGCTTTCACCCCATTAGAGGGCTTCCCTCTAGGCTTCAAGGCCACAAGGGAGTCCTGGGTGATCCCAGGATGCGAGGCCCCTCTACCACTCCGTCCCTCTCTGAGCTTCCTGTGGCAGTGATCCCAGTCTCTAGGGGAGGGAGCAAAGTTCTCTCTTACCCCGTTCCAGCTCCTCCGAGGGGGGCTCCAGCCTCTCTGCCCTCCGTGCTTTGGCTGCTGTGGGTCTCCGAGGAGTCCTGTGCTATTAGGATATTTTCTGTTGGAATATGGTTGCTCCTTCTTGTTGTATGTTGGAGGGGAGAGAGTCCTGGGTGAGCTCACTCCAGCATGACGCTGATGTCACTCCCCACCAGTTCTTGCCACACGGGCCTCTCTGTGGGAAAGCTGACTTCCCTCAGAGTGGGCGAGGGAGCAAAGAGGATGGAGGCTACCTTCTTGTAACCTGGTCTCAGGGATGACGTCCCATCATTTTTTGCCATATTCTGTTGGTCGGAAGTGAGTCACTGGGTCCTGCCCACTCCAGTGAGAGGGGATGATGCAGAGCACAATGACCAGGAGGCAAGCATCACTGAGAATGGGGCAGCTTAGAGGTTTTGGAGCTGTTTGGGGCAGTGGCTTTCAAAGTGTGGTGCTCCCACCTCAGGGGTCATGCAAGTCAACTCATGAGGGTACAGGAAGAAATTGTTATAACTTCTATTTAAATTTATTTTGATCTAAAAATTAATAAATGAGATATTACTAATTTCCCATATATGGATTGACACTACAAATATATAACCTATAAATGAATATTTGCTGTCGATCCATGCTCTCAAGATGTTTAGTAGTGTGTGTGCGCACCACAGATGTAGGGCAATGAGCTCTGTGCCCGGATCACCACCAAGCACCAAGTTATGAGATTAAAAAATGGATTCATCTTCTGCTTCTGACCCTGGACACCACATCCTCATCCTGCTGGCTCTTAGGAATATTTTTAAGGAATGATCAATCTTGAGTAGGTTTGTGAGTTTCAGGGATCTTAGATGTGGGATTAAGGTTATTTCCTTCCATATTTACTCATTTTTTCCCTAATTTTAAAATAATGAATATATACTACTTTGTGAATAAAATAGTAAAGTTCCACAAGAGAAGAGTAATAATGAGGATAATTTATAGGAGCTGCACTGTTGTGTTTGATAATAAAAGGACTCAGACAGGGTATAACAAAAGCCTAACATTTACTCACTGTGTGCCAGGTCCTCCTCTCTACGTCTACTGTCATGGACTCACCTTATGAGTAGAGGCTCTTGAAATTCCCATTTTGCAGATCAGGAAACTGAGGCTTGCCTGACATCACAGTTAAGAAGTGTCCAAGTCAGAGGCTGAACTCAGGCAGCCTTGCTGTGAAACCCCCACTGGGACATCGTGCGGTGCCTCGCAGGGGAGGGCAGGAGCATCCTGCGCAGAGTGGGAACCAGGAAAAAGGAAGGGACCTGGTCCTTGGGAGAGCCTGGCCAACACAGTCCTTGACAGCCGGTCCGTGAGTGTGACTCATGGTTTGTCTCTGGTCAGGAAACAGTTGTAGAGAAAAAGGGGAAGGACTGGTTTTTCCTTTTCCTTTTAGCTGGCACTTTCATTTAACATCTCAGTCTCGGCAGCATCCTTGTCTAATAACGGCAGTCTGTTTTCACTTTTATTATACTCATTTTACAGTTGTGCACACTGAGATTCCAAAAGGTAGAGCAACTCGTCTAAAGTCGAGTCAGAAGGGGAGGCGCTGGGACTCAAATCTTGGGCTGTCTGACTCTAAAACCCCCTTTCCACTTGATGTCCTGGGGCAGGGAGACGCAGAATCCTGGGGAGAAACCATCGAAGAGAAAGCAGATTTCTGCCATGGTCTGGGTCTGGGCAAAGGCACACTGACCTGAGGACTTGCTCCTTTAAGACTTGCCCCCTCCTTTGGGAGACATTGGAGTTGCTGTCTCCCTGCCATCAGCTGTGCGTGTATATTCTGTGCCCTCACCTGTAGCACCTGAGGTTCCACGAGGACTGTGGCTGTCGGTGACTGATTCCTCGGGAGCCCCAGGAGATGGAGGGAGAGGCTGAGCCCACGACTACATGCACAATGCAGGAGTTTGTGTGAGGGGCCCCCGGCCCCGGCTGGAAGGTGGCGGGCTGTAGACCAGAGCCACTGAGTGGGGAGGCGGTGGCCATGCGGACACGGGGTGGGATTTAGAGCTTGACTCTCCTTTCTGCCATGGCTCTTTCTGCCCCCAGGTGCTCTGTGCTGCTGTTGCCACTGAGAGCCACAGCCCTTGAGCCCTGGAGGTGACCCTGCCCAGCCAGCCCCATTAGTGACGGGAACTGGGAGTGCAGGGTCTGCGTTCCTTCACCAGTGAGGGGAAGTGGGGGACACAGTCTGTGAGTGGGTCTCAGAAATGGTCTTCCTCGGGGGATCAGAAATGCTGTTTTTTCCTCCCCAAAGGCCCAGTTTCCAGAGCTCTTCCTCTTCTGACAGTGGTCATCCTCCCCTCCTTGTTCTCTGGTCCCCAGCCGGCAGCTGGCGCCCTCCATTCCTGACTGCAGTCTGCATCCTCATGGTGTTCTGAGTCTGTTGCTGTTACCCCAGGTCCGTGTCTCCACCTGAGAGGTCCTGGCAATCCCATGGTGGTTGTAAAGGTACAGGGCTTGAGGGTGGTGGGGGCACATCAGAGACTGTGGGGCATCTGGAGCCCTCAGCCCGGAGGCACTTTGTCCGGGGACTCAGGACACAGGGCAGTGGTCGTGTCATGGCCAAGAGATGTCTGTTGAAAGCCTCAGGCTTCAGGACCAGGGGCTGGGCTTCCGTCCCAGCCCTTCCTGGCCTTCCAGGCAGACTGGGTGGGCTCCATTTCCTCTCTGCTCCAGAGGGGAGATGAGTGTGGGAGTTCCCCCTCAAGAACGTCCTCAGACGCACAGTCAGAATTTCTGATCACGTGTTGAATTGAGCAGAACGAAGGCTGACGGGCCCTGCTCTGCCACCCGTTAGTTCTCTTGAGGCTAGATGTGAAACGACCTGGGGGTACGGGGAAGGAGCTGCAGTGGTGTGGGGGGCACTCGTTAGGGACCCCAGGCAGCAGCTAATCACTAACTGAGATGAGGGTATTTCACTATTTCACAACCTCTACATCCATACGGGGCTTGTGTGCTGTGTCTCAGGCCTCTGCACACTTCCCATAACCTCTGCATCCACTGTTCAGGGAGAGTGGTTGCCAGGTGGCATCACCTCCAGCCAAGAAGGGGCATATTAGTATGAGAAGAAGGGGGTGGGACATGGAGAGGAGAGGAGCCTGACCCCCATATTTGTGTTCCCAGATGAGGACGAGTGCAGGTCCCAGTGGCATCAATGCCACAACTCCACTGTCTGCGTCAACATTGTGGGCTCCTACACATGCCACAGCTGCCAAGGGTGCGTGCCCAAACCTGAATTCCTGAATAAGCAAATGACCACCGTGTGTGAAGGTACCTGTTCTGACCCGGCCCCAAACCCCACCCCCAACACACACACTGACCATCTCACACCTAAGGAACCGCCATTCTGTCTCCTGCAGAGATGTCCTTCCCCACGTGGACTCCGCCCCCTGGAATGAAGAACGAGGTGAGTGGCCCCAGCAGGGACCAGGAGGCATTAATCTCCCCATGCAGCCCACCCTGTCCGCCTGTTTTCCCGAAGCTCGCCGCCCACCCTCGAGTGACCTGACCTCCTCATCTCCCTCCCCTGCAGTGTCTCCTGCTTCTTTGAAAAAGTCCAGGATCTGGGCAGAGACTTAGAGCCAGCCTCGGCCCAGGACACCGTCCAGGTAGGGGCAGGACCCAGAGGAGGCAAGGTGGAGGCACCCCTTCCCCATAGAGGCCTGGGGAAGCTTTGGTCTGGGAGGAGACAGACCCCAACATGACGGTGCCCCAGATCTCCTGGGTGAGAAAGATGTAACCAAGATATTGGTAAGGATTGTGTTGAATCTGGAGATCTATTTGAGGGTGCTGCCATCTTACTTACATTGTCTTCTGCTCTATGAACATGGGATGTCATTCCATTTCTTTAGGTCGTCTTTGACTTCTTTAGACGATGTTTTATAGTTTTAGTGTACCAGTTTTGTACTTTTTCACACAGTATCATTTTTAAACCTTCATTCTCAGGAGGATTAAATTAAGAGCTAAGCAGAAAATCTTGTATCCTGGAAAATTCTGAACTTCATCCTTTGGACAAAGTGTTAAAAATACTTTTCATGTTTGTTACCGGTTACTCTTCATGGCGCCATTATGGGAGCACATATGCAGGAAATGGTTTGACATTCAGTTGCTGGAGGATTTGGGTTTTCTCGTCCATACGGCATGATCTCACTCCCAGCAGAGTCACTGAGCTACGACCCAATTCCCCAGCTGCCTTGGATTAACCCCCTCTGCTCCAACCTCTTTTGCTGCAAAGATTCTTCCTCAATTTGAAGATATATAACAAGGAAAGCCAGCCTCAAAGGACCTTCTCAAAATAGCATCAGAGAGGAAAGTCACGCTCAGTCAGACACTTTCATGCGGATAAACGGTGAATCCCCATGAAACACCTCAGTGACAGGCAAACGGGGACAGGTTGTCTCCCTGCCGACCGGCCTCGACTTCTTCACTCTCCATCTCTAGGGCTTTCTAATTTATTCATTAAAAATGTATTTTTTACTCACCATGTGCTGCACACAGATCAAGACAGATTCCGTTCCTAATTTCACAGAGCTTATAGGTAAAAAAGAAGTTTTTTCAGTTAGAGAAAAATCAGAATCTTGTGAATAGTCTCTACATCCTTTTATTTTATAAACTGACCAGTAGGAAAAGGTGTATATTGCTACTGCACAGTTCATAAGTTGTATTTATCTATAACATATTATTTCATCCTCAGCATGCAGTCTAGGCAAGATCCAAATCCAGAGCTGTTACACCTACAGGAAATTCCCTGTGGGCCCCACTGACCAAATCTGCATCAATTTGAACATTAAGGAAAATTACTGTAAATAAATACAACATATGAAATAAAAATATCCATGAGCCCATAGTGACACCTAAAATGTCAAACAATAAATGTGGAAAATATGATAAAATGAGAATATCATGTTTTTTTCAATATCCAGTAAAAGGCCACTAAAAGAACTGGGTGAAAGGCTGCTGGAGGACAGGCTGGTCCCACAGTGACCAAGAACCCCCTCAGATTACTGGTTCATCACAAGGGCCAAGGTGCACGTCTACAGCGTGGAGATCTGCCAGTCACCATCTGAACTTAATGATCAGGCTCAACATCACCACTATGGGAAACCTGACATCAGGTATCTCCTGAGAAGACATGAAGTTACAGCATCCCATTTGTGGTGAATAAAGAATTTTGACAAATCAGTCTAACCTAAACCTAATCCAGCCTTCAGACCAAGGGTGGACAAACTGTAGCATGCAGGACAAGTGCAGGCAGCCGCCTGCTCTTGTGAATAAAGGTTTATTGGAGCACAGCCACACCCATTCATGGATGTATTGTCTATGGCTGCTCTCATGCTACAGTGTCAGAGTTGAGCAGCTATGACAGAGACTGTAAGAATGACAAGCTAAAAATATATACCACCTGGCCCTTTATAGTCAACCTTGCTGACACCTGTTCCTCCAGATCTAACTTTCAATATACATGGAATACAGGGGACAGAAGAACAGGTTAAATGACATCAAAAGGAAGCAATCAGGCAAATTGAGAATGTGAGGCATTCAACAAGCCATTGGCTTGGGTTCTTCTAAAGTCAATATCATTTTTAAAATGACTAGAGGCTGCTTGAGATTAAGAGACAGAAGCGACAATACAATCAAATTCAGTGTCAGTTTTAGAGGGACTCTGGTTCAGATATACAGCTTTAAAAGGTGTTTTGGAGGGAATTGGGATAATTTGAATATGTATCAGATATTAAAAGTTAAAAATTGTTAATTTTCTTGGGTGTAATAATCATATTATGGTTATCTGGAGAATATTCTTTGAAATCTTCAACATTTGTTGAAGAAATATTGAAGAATGGAGCATCATGATGTCTGCCAGTGACCATCAAATGTTTTAGCAAGAATATGTATGTGTGTATATAGATCGAAAAAGACTTTTCAATGTAGCACTATGCTAATAATTGCTGAATCCAGATGACAGTCTCTTATATCACCCTTTCAGATTCTTTCTATGCTTAAAAATTGTAAAGTGTAAGAAAAGTGACTAAATATATTTAGCTATTACCTTATTAAAGATATCCACTCATAAATTCCTGATGTCCAAATCAAATGCTTTTTCTTCTGCAGAAAACTAACTTTGGGAAATGATATGTCATAAAATTATGAATTTTCATGGCTATATGGTGATGGATTTAAAATCTAAAAGTTGAAAATAAAATATTTTAAATATTAGAGAAAATACAGGTGATCTCTTAGGAAATAGAAAATGGAAATGAGTATCACTCCCAACTTAATAAGAAGAAAAATCCATATAAACTACAAAATCATTCATTCTCTTGAACCCATAAGAGAGCTGAGGTCACAGGAAAACAAAAAGAGCCTAAAATCTAAGGGAAGACAGGCTCGTGCAGCAGAGACTGTCAGGGCACTGGCTCACCTGTGGCAGAGCACAAACGGCAGGGATCTGGGTGCCACACAAACGGTTAAGAAGAATTCACCTTCACTTTTTAATGAATTGACCAGGGCCAAGGTGGGCAATCGTGCGAGTGTAGAATCTCTGAGGGAGTGGCAGGAACGTGCAGAGACCCTCTCTGAGGTGCAGCCACGCTGGGCGGGTCTACAGCTGAAGGCGGAGCAGTGAGGAAAACCCTCTGGCAAAACAGCCGCCACCAAAACACAAGATCACAAGGTAACGCTAGGATAAACTGAAGCCCAGGGCGCAATGCCTCCTGACCGGATAGACTCAAGACCCCTCAAAAGCATCCTAGTGCCGGGAGCCGTGGCTACATCATTTGATCGGCTGTTTGACAGCGTCCAGCCAATTAACGCCGAGGGGTGCAGGGTCGCCCATGGTGAAGAATAACGGGCCAGCCCCTCACATAGTTCTGAAACCTGTGCTGCTTCTAATTGCCCTTCATTCCTTTTCCTTTCTTAACCTCCAGTTTTCACTCCTTTGGGTGGCTGCTTGGGACGCACTACCCCCCGGGAAAATTAGATATAGTAAGAGAATGTGACCATCTGCAGGTAACTTTCAAGATATTTTTCAGTTAATTAGTGGAGGAGCACACAGTCCCTTTTGAGACAAGCAGAAAGGAATCCTGCCCAGATAAGGTGTCGAATTAGGTTTATGGCCTCCATCTGGTTAATGTTTCCTTCTCCCTCCAGTTCTTTGTCTAAATATATATATGCATCGTCCTTCTAAGTTTGCTGGTTAATTGGATGATCAAGAAGTATCTATATATTATTCTTGACCTTCTGCTTTCTGTTAAAATGTTATAGAGGTTTTCTCCTAAAAGCAATAAATAATAAATAATTGATGACTAGAAGGGCGGAGGGGTGCAGGGATGCCCCTCGGTGAAGAATGGCTGGCCGACACCCCTGATATTTTCTGAATTATATGCATGCTTTCTATCAAGGTTATGTCTATACTTATTTCTGTTTTTTATTCTTGAAGATATATAGTTTAGCTTAGCTTTTCAGGCCTTTACTTTACTAACAAAATGATATTTTCTCCGGGCAGTGTGCTTAAGGGACTGTTAGCTCTACAATCTAAAAGACAAAGGAATGCGTTCACCCCCTAAAGGGCGCGGGAATGTAAAGATGTTTAACTGCCCGCTGAGAATGCACCGTAGCCCTGGGGATAAGATACCCTGGAGTTGCCTTTTGTTCCCATTAACCATCTACATTAATGGCGTAAATGATTGAGGGAGGCAGGGATGGCTCCCCCAGGACGTAACCAGACGGAATGCTGTCCTGTCCAGAGGCCTGGACCTTCTCTCTTTGATTTAACTGTACCATGAATTACGACAGATGTCTAGGTACCTATCTCTTTTAGCTTAGAGACAACAAACACTAGTTAATTGTGGAGAAGACTACCATTAACCTTATGCTCTAGAGAATAGAATGCTAATAAATATTCTTGTGCTTGTTTTTTACTTCCTTATCTTTCTGAGAATATTTGTAGAGCTATTTCTGTACTAATCCTGAAAAATATAAAAACGACACTTGTGCACAGTAAAGTTGTACTTGCTCACACCAACCCAAGTCTCACGTCCCCTTTATCTTCCCCTCATTGCGCCCACGCCGTCCATCCCTCAGGAACCTGGACTCAGCCAGGGCGGGACTCCGGCATCCTAGCAGAAGAAGAGCGTGTCCACTTCCAGTAATAAATAATAAATCCCTCAGTGTCTACTTGTGATGAGAAACAGGTATTTTGAGTTGCTGCCAAGCCATTTTATAGCATGACAACCCTGCCCACACCCAGAGTCTGGACATTTAGATAATGCCCTGAGCTTAGGATTTCTGCCACAAGTTCCTGTGTTTTTTTTTTTTTTCCCCTGGGTCAGCTTTTAAAATAACCACTTAGAGTCGAGCCCATGAAAAGTTAGTCATGTCTGCCCCAAGCACCCCATAAGCCATAGCTGCTTTCTATCCTGCTCTCTACCTCCTGCTCCCTCATGAGCTGGGCCAGAGGACTGCCCTTCCCTTGATCATTGCACACACACCCTCCAGTCCTGGGACCTGTAAGTTACAAATCTTGTTACTTTACTGCCTTTATGTGAGTGTGTGGAAACTGCACCTTCAGTCAGGACAACGCTGGGTTTTCACTTCCTCAGAGCGGGAGCTTGGATGCCGAGGGTGCCATCCACTGACCCACGGGGGTGGCTCATGCCTGCTCATTCAGCAGGTCACAATGCATATTCTTAACTTAATACACTAGCTATGGGCCCTCCCACACACTACTGTCCTACACACATTGTCCAGCATTCAATCAAAAATTATGAAACACAAGCAAAAGCAAGAAAAACCAACCCATGGAGAAATCAAAAGAACCGGAATTAAGGATAGACTAACAAACAGGAAATTTTAAATAACTAAGATTAATGTGTTAAAGGCTCTAATGTAGTCGTTCTCACCAGGGGCACGGTTTTGCCCCAGGGTGCAATTTCTGGAGACATCTTTGGTTTCTCAGCTGGAGGGGCGCCTACTGGCATTTAGTGAGTGAGGGCAAAAGATTCTGCCCAACAGTCTACAACGCATAGGACAGCCTCGGCCACAAAGAGTTACCCAGCCCCTAAGGATCAATACTGCTGAGCTTGAAAAACTATGCTCTAACTCCTTTACGTTAGAGATGCTAAAAACGGGTGTTTTCCTTTCTCCGTTAGAAACTGGAAAGTTTCTACAGCAACAAAGCGTAAAGAGAAAGTAGCTTTTAACAGGAAATTTCACGTTCTATTCTGTTACCCTCAAGGTTGAGAAACCCTGTTCTACCCAAAAAGGTGGACAACGTGTATGAAGATATGGGAAATTTCAAAAGAAAACAGAAGTCACAATGTAAAATTTCATTAATAACATCCTTTCAATCAACAATGAAAATCCACAGGCATAGAAAAAAATTGACAAGCCTTACTACTGAAATAGAAGTGTCTGGATGATAAACTACACCATTAACAAAGCCTGAAGACAAGATGAAATATTTGCAATGTTAATAAAAGATTAATATGTATGACGTACAAAGAACTTCTAAAATTCAATAATTAAAAGGCTAACAAAATGTTAGATGAGAAATGTAGAGGTAATTAACAGAAAAAGAAAAGTTCTAATAAATATGTAGTAATCAAGGAAAGTGAGGTTAATATGAGGAATTGATACTGTCAAGCATTATACTGTAAAAATCTACAGGGTTGGATAGCATGCCACATTGGTTAGGCCATGGTGGAATGGATAGTCCCATATGGTACAAGGGTAAATTGATATAGACACTGTATGTTGCAATTCGGTACTAACTATGAAAATTTAAGATGCGCACACCCTGGGGCCCAGAAAGCCCACTTCTTTTAATCTCCCTTGGAGAAACGCTCCCATGTCCATAGAAAAATATTTACAGGAAGGATTTTGCAGGATATGTGCCAAAGGGAAAGAGCAGAAGAGATGCAAGCAGTAGAATGGACAACACCAGAGTGAACCCTGATGTAGACCAGAGACCTTGGTGATTGTGATGTGTCAATGGAGGTGCCTCCATTGTAACTGGGGTACCCATCTGGTGAGGGATGTGGACAAGGCCATGCATGTGTTGGGGCAGGGGGCACGTGGGAAATCTCTGTACCTTCCTCAGTTTTGCTGTGAACCTAAAACATCTCTAAAAAGTTAAGATTTCTAAAAATAGAGCAATTTGGCTGAGGCTCAAATCTTCTCTAGAGGCCGCCCACTTGTTCTCCTGTCCTCTAAGGTGCCCTGGAAACTACTACACCAACGCGGTCACTGTCACACTTTGCTTCTGAGCTCACCAGTGAGCTGGGAGAATCTTCCCAAAGGACCGTAACCCAGTACAAAGACAAAAGCCTTTTTATGGCACTTAAGAGTGCACAGCAATAGCCATTCATTTTACTTAAACATTAGTAATTACAAATATCTATTAGGGAGTGAAAATGTGCGTTTCCAAATTAAAAGTACTTTTTTTAGTTTTCAGAGGACTCTAAATTCAGTATTCTATCCTGAAATCAGGCCTCAGTGCTTGGCAAAGTTGGGAAAGTTGTAGGGCAAGTGTGCCTGCAGAGAACTGAAGGGCCTGTGTTTGGGGGGAAGGACGCTTTGCCAGATGGAAAACACCAGCGCTGTGTAGAGTTGGTTTTGCATTTCAATCACCGCTCTTCTTGTCCTCTAATTAAAAATGACTGTTAACTTTTCTTAAATACACAGGCATCCATGAATCAGGAATGACAAAGTAAATGGGGGTATATCTGTCAGAATAAGAAAGAATAAAATACATCTGCCTATAGCACAGCTTCTATACTGACATGAAATGAGCTACAATATACACAGTTGAGCATAAAAAAGCAACTTGAAATACAGTCTGCATAGTACTGTTGAGTTAATTCTTATAAATAGTAAAACATCATATCTTTTTACAGATGCGAAGTAAGGAGCCTAAGTTTGGGGACACTGATTAAAGGGTATGACAACTTCTATAATGTCTGAGATGTTTCAACAGGAATATGTTATTACTGATGTGGTCAAAAGGTTATAAGTTCTTCCTTGAGTTTTTAAGGAAGAACACGCATCCTATTCATAAAGGAATTCTGCTGAGGGGAGTAGGATCGAGGCAGGGTTCAAGAAGAAATTTGGCAGAATCTCTAATTTGTGGATGGTTATCTAAAATTTTTTTTTTGTTAAAGATTGGCACCTGAGCTAACAACTGTTGCCAATCTTTTTTTCTTCTTCTTCTCCCCAAAGCCCCCCGGTGCATAGTTGTGAGTGCCTCTCATCCTGCTATTTCAAATTACAACGTAAGCACACAGTGTCTGTGTACTTAATAAACAGAGTGTAAAAAGAAGAGGTGTCTTCTGGGTGTTTGGAAGAATAGTCAAGTTTTCTCCATAATTACCCATTTTTTGTTTTCACATGAAGATCAAAGAGAAACGCAGAAACAAGACAGTGCTAAAATTTCTCATGAAGAGCAGTATTTTGGGAACATAGGAAGCTCTGTGGTCCCAGCCTCCCCAGGCCTTACGGTGCGACTGCAGGGAGCCACAGATCTCAGCTCAGTGTGGGGGCCGTGATGCTCTGGGTGGAGGGGGAGCAGTAAGTTATGGGTGTACACGGACTCACCCTCTCCCTACCCCTTACAGATAATTCAGCCTTAGGCCGTTCAGTTCTCCTGCTTCCCGGACACTGCAGCCCTGAGATCTGTGTTAGATCATGGGCCTCAATTCTTCTTATCAGGGTAACAGGTCAAGGATTTCACAGACAGATCTGGGGTCTTTGCCGTCCTTCAGCCTCAATATCACGTCCGTATGTCTGTCAAATAATCAACGATGTACCCACTTCAAATTTCCAAGTCCTCCTTCAGAACTACAGAATTTACTAATAGGGAGCAGTTTAACAAATTAGAGTTCAACTATAGAAGGAAAATCTATGGAGCTGTGAAAAAAAGACTACAGTAATATATACATAAAAAGGACTATTTTCACGTGAAAAATGCTAGTTGCAGAACCTTACACATATTTAATATAGGTTTTTAAAATACATATAGATACATAAAATTAAGTAGATTAATATTTAGATAAATGCTTGGGTACATTACAAAGTGTGAGTCATGAGTCCCTTTGTAAAGGAGAGAGAACACGCATGTTCACATGTGCCTGTGTGTTGCAGGGGTCAGCTATGCGACGTAGGGGGTACTTTTCATACTTTGCTGAGTACATACATTGCTTTAGACATTTACAAAGATAATATTCATATACTTTTTTGTGATGTGAAAACAAAAAGTAAAATTCTAAATTGCTTATAAGCAAAAAGAAATAAACTCATATGCGGATAACTATACTTTTTTCACATTAAAGCGTTCCCATGTAGAGGGGGCTTCTTCTCTCTGGATCATGAGGACAATCTAAAGATTTTTCTTGGCGTGTTTGTATTTTCCAGAGCAGTTACTCTGAATGAACCATTGCAGAAGTGGAAAATGAGAAGTTAACTTGACTTTAAGGAATGCTGGCAAAGCCTGAACTACTGCCATCTATGTGGACGCAGAGAAATCTCCATGTCGATACAAAGAGAGGTCAAGTTGGCGGGTGTTTTTAGTAAAATACTAGATAATTCTACAAGTTTATTACCATTTGAATGTTTACAAGGCTATGCACTTATTTAACTTTCATAATTAAAAAGTTGTTTCTACGTTTAGCAGAACAAGTTATGATTTTGTGATAGTTGAGGATATCTCTTTAAGGGGGGTTAGAACATATCTCTGGTGTTTGAGGTATTGTATTGTTTTTTATTGAGGTCATAATAGTTTATAACATTGTGAAATTTCAGTTGTACATATTATTTGTCAGTCACCATATAATGTGCCCCTTCACCCTTTGCGCCCACCCCCTTGCCCCTGGTAACCACTGAACTGTTCTCTTTGTCCATGTGTTTATCTTCCACATATGAGTGAAATAATATGGTGTTTGCCTTTTCTGTCCAGCTTATTTGGCTTAACATAATACCCTCAAGGTGCATCCATGTGCTTGCAAATGGGACAATTTTGTCCTTTTATTATGGCTGAGTAGTATTGCATTCTATATATATACCACATCTTCCTTATCTAGTCCAGTCGTGGGCGCTTGGGTTGCTTCCACATCTTGGCTATTGTGAATAGTGCTGCAGTGATCATAGGGGTTCATAAGTCTGTTTGAATTGTTGATTTCAAGTTCTTTGGGTAAATGCCAAGTAATGGGATAACTGGGTCGTAGGGTACTTGTATTTTTAATTTTTTGAGAAATTTCCATGTTGTTTTCCATAGTGGCTGCACCAGCTTGTATTCCCACCAGCGGTGGATAAGGGTTCCCTTTTCTCCACAACCTCTCCAACATTTGTTATTTTTTGTCTTGGTGATTATAGCCATTCTAACAGGTGTAACATGATACCTAAGTGTAGTTTTGATTTGCATTTCTCCCATGAAGGGGAATGGAGGTACTATGGACCATCAGACTGCAGCAACTTCTGGGCAGATGTGACTCAGCATGTCCGTTGCAGGCAGCACATCGGCCAACCACGTATGTAAACACCTTATGTAACCTGCATTATGTCAACACTGCTGGCTGTCTGCCACTTTTGTCTAGTAGTCATATAAAAGGGGCCACAAGAGCAGCTGTGCCCCACCCCCCACCGTCTGTCGGCCAGAGTGAATAAAGAGTATGTCTGCCTTGCCATCGACTGCTGGCAGCTTTCTCAGTTCTCTGAGCCCCGTGGTCCCATCCTTGGCTGTTTCTCTCCTGCATACACTTGAGGATTAGTGATGTTGAATATCTTTTCATGTGTTTATTGGCCATGTGTATATCTTTGGAAAAATGTCTGTTCATATCCTTTGCCCACTGTTCGATCGGGTTGTTTGTTTTTTGTGGTTCAGTTGTGTGAGTTCTTTATATATTATAGAGATAACCCCTTGTCGGATATGTGATTTGCAAAGTTTTTCTCCCAGTTGGTGCATTGTCTTTTCGTTTACACCCTGCTTTCCTTTGCCTTGCAGAAGCTCTTTAGTCTGATGAAGTCCCACTTGTTTATGTCTTTTGTTTCCCTTGTCTGAGTAGACATTCGATTTGAAAAGATCCCTTTCGGACTGATGTGAAAGAGTATATTGCCTATATTTTCTTCTACAAGTTTTTGGTTTCAGGTCTTACCTTCAAATCTTAGATCCATTTTGAGTAATTTTTGTGTATGGCAAAAGATAATGGTCTACTTTCATTCTTTGGCATGTGGCTGTCCAGTTTCCCCAACACCATTTATTGAAGAGACTTTCCTTTCTCCATTGTATGTTCTTGGCACCTTTGTCAAAGATTAGCTGTCTGTAGACGTGTGGGTTTACTTCTGGGCTTTCAATTCTGTTCCGTTGATCCGGGTCCCTGTTTTTGGACCAGTACCAAGCTGTTTTGATTATTATAGGTTTGTAGTATATTTTGAAGTCAGGGATTTTTATCCCTCCAACTTTGTTCTTTTTTTCCTCAGGATCGCTTTAGCTATTCAGGGTCTTCTCTTGCCCCATATGAATTTTTGGATTCTTTGTTCTATTTCTGTGAAGAATGTCATTGGGATTCTGCTTTGGATTTCATTGAATCTGTAGATTGCTTTAGGTAGTATGGACATTTTAAGTGTGTTTATTCTTCCAATCCATGTACATGGAATAGCTTTCCATTTCTTTATGTCATTATTGGTTTCTTTCTGTAATGTCTTACAGTTTTCATTGTATAGACCTTTCACCTCCTTGGTTAAATTTACTCATAGACATTTTGTTTTTTTTGATGTTATTGTAAATGGGATTGTATTCTTTACTTCTCTTTCTGTTAGTTTGTTATTGGAGTATAGAACTGCATCTGATTTTTGTAAGTTGATTTCGTACCCTGCAACTTTGCTGCAGTTGTCGATTATTTCACATAGTTTCTCAATGGATTCTTCAGGGCTTTCAATATATAAAATCATGTCATCTGCAAACAGTTAGAGTTTCAATTCTTCATTGCCTATTTGGATTCCTTTTATTTCTTTGTCTTGCCTAAGTGCTTTGACCAAAACCTCCAGTAGTATGTTGAATAAGAGTGGTGAGAGTGGGCACCCTTGTTTTGTTCCTGTTCTCAGAGGGATGGCTTTTGGTTTTTCCCCATTGAGTATGATGTTGGCTGTGGGTTTGTCATATGTGGCCTTTATTATGTTGAGGTAATTTCCTTCTATATCCATTTTGTTGAGAGGTTTTTTTTTTTTTATCATAAATGGATATTGGATCTTATCAAATGCCTTCTCTGCATCTATTGAGCTTATCACGTGGTTTTTGTTCCTCATTTTGTTGATGTGGTGTATCACATTTATTGATTTGTGGATGTTGAACCATTCTTGCATCCTTGATCAGTATAAATCTCACTTGATCATGGTGTATGATCCTTTTAATGTATTGCTGTATTCGGTTTGCCAATATTTTGTTGAGGATTTTTGCATCTAAGTGCATCAGCGATATTGGCCTGTAGTTTTCCTTCTTTGTGTTGTCCTTATCTGGCTTTGGTATCAGGGTGATGTTGGCCTCATAGAATGTGTTAGGAAGTGTTCCATCTTAATCAATTTTTTGGAATAGTTTGAGAAGCATAGGTGATAAATCTTCTTTGAATGTTTGGTAGAATTCTCCAGAGAAGCTGTCTGTTCCTGGACTTTTATTCTTTGGGACGTTTTTGATTCTTGTTTCAATCTCTTTACTTGTGATTGGTCTATTCAGATTCTCTATTTCTTCTTGATTCAGTTTTGGGGGTTGTAAGAGTGTAAGAATTCATGCATTTCTTCTAGATTGTCCAATTTCTTGACATATAGTTTTTCATAATAGTCTCTTATAATCTTTTGTATTTCTGCATTATCTGTTGCAATTTCTCCTCTTTCATTTCTAATTCTATTTACTTGAGCCTTCTCTCTTTTTGTGTTAGTGAGATTGGCTAAGGGGTTGTCAATTTTGCTTATCCTTTCAAATAACCAGCCATTTGTTTCACTGCTGCTTTGTACTATCTTTTTTGTTTCAATTTAATTTATTTCTGCTCGAATTTTTATTGTTTCCCTCCTTCTGCTGAGTTTGGGCTTTGTTTGCTCTTCTTTTTCTAATTCTTTTAGGTGTAGTGTAGGATTGCTTATTTCAGATTTTTCTTGTTTGTTAAGGTGAGCCAGTATTGCTGTAAGTTTCCCTCTTAGGACTGCTTTTGCTGCATCCCATGTGAGTTGCTATGGTGTGCTTTCATTTTCATTTGTCTCCAGATGCTTTTTGATTTTCCCTTTGATTTCTTCATTGATCCGTTGGTTGTTCAGTAGCATGTTGTTCAGTCTCCACATCTTCGTCCCTTTCTCAGCTTTTTTCTTGTAGTTGATTTCTAGTTTCATAGCATTATGGTCAGAAAAGATGCTATATGAGTTCATCTTCTTAAATTTCTGGAGGCTTGCCTTGTTTCCCAACATATGGTCTATCCTTGAGATTGTTCCATGAGCACTTGAGAATAATGTGTATTCTGCTGTTTTTGGATGGAGTGCTCTATATATGTCTATTAAGTCCCTATGGTCTAGCTTTTCATTTAATTCCACTATTTCCTTTTAGACTTTTTGTTGGGATGATATTTCCATTGATGTGGGTGGAGTGTTGAGGCCCTTTGCTATTATTGTGGTGTGGTTAATATCTCCTTTTAGGTTTGTTAATAGTTACTTTATGTACTTTGGTGCTCCCGTGTTGGGTGCATATATATTTACAAGTGTCATTGCTTCTTGGGGGATTGTCCTTTTTATCATCATATACTGCCCCTGTTTGTCTCTCTTTACTTGTTTTTTCTTGAAATCTGCTTTGTCTGATGTAAGTATGGCAACATCTGCTTTCTTTTGTTTTTCATTAGCTTGCATATCCTCTTCTGTCTCTACACTCTGAGCCTGTGTTTGTCTTTGGAGCTGAGATGTGCTTCCTGGAGGCAGTATATTGTTGGGTCTTGTTCTCTAATCCATCCTGCCACCTCTGTGTCTTTTGATTGGGGAATTCAATCTATTTTCATTTGTAGTGATTATTGCTATATGAAGGCTTAATGCTGCCGTCTTATCACTCATTTTCTGGTTCTTCTGCATTTGAGATAGTGTATTTTTACAACAAGAATGAATTCACGTTTTACTTCTTACGAAAAACAAATAAAAATTTAAAAATACTGTGCCTTTCTCAGGTAAAGGCAAGAATGCAGTTGCCGAGAGGCTCACTCTAAGGGATGACGTTTTCCAGCTCTGACTCCTAACATGCGCTCTGCCCGCAGTGCTGCTTGAACTTCATTCTGCCTGCAGAGCGCCATACATACAGACACCTGCTGTCTTCTGTTAAACTGCAGGTTCTGGTCAGTAACCATTAGGCCTTCACCTTCGGTCTGGAAGGAAGACTTCTGTGAGGCAACCTCATGGTCCGTGTGTTAAATATTCTATCAAAATACTTTAAAAATTGATACCTCAATTGGTTTGCACTTCTCACTCCACATCTAACAGCAAAGCAATGCAATGAGAAAAGAAATGAAAACAGGTACAGATTCTTTAAAGAAACGCCAAGCAGTCATTATTTGCAGCTTGCATAATTGTCTACCAAGAAAACTTCAGAGTTTGATGACAAATATTGAGAGTTCAATAAGACACTCACAGCAAGATCAACATTCAAAATCAATGGTTTTCTATCAAAACAAAAACCAATTTTAAAGTACAATAGGAAAAACTGTTTAAAATTTTGTAAAAACTTCAAAAATACCTAGGAAGAATCCTGCAAGAAATGCCTGAAGCTCTCAAGAAGAAACTGTAAGTGAAACGGAAAGAAATCATAACCTCCATAAAGAGGGAGTTTACTGGGGGGGTGGGGATTCTTAATATGGTCAGGAACCATCTCCACAGTCAATTCATCTCCACAGTCAACACAGTCATCAATTCCTAAGACATTTTTCATGGAACGTAGTAAACTAACTATGAAGTTTACTGTGCGCAGAAGAAACAATGTGAAAGGAGAGGCAGCACAGCTGTGAAGAATAATTAGTGACCAAGTTTTCACATTTTGCACTTCTCACCCTCTGCTTTGTCTTGATGAAATTTTAATCAGCTTCTCTCTTTCCTGCAGCCCCCAGAAATCTGCTTCCCCTCAAGGCTGAACAAGAACAAAAAAAGTGCAACATTTCCCCCACCCTCCTACCATCCCCCCTCAGCTTCCCCTGGGAATTTGCTGATGACAAGAAGACTCTTGCTGTCAGAACTCATTGGTCATTTCCTCTTCTTTCTCCAGCTTCCCGTCCAAATATTCTGATTTTCTCTGCCTGCCTCCTACTTTACCCTTTAAAAGAAAACCCTTGTCTGTGTGATTGTGACAAGCTCACAGAGTCCTGGGACCTGAGCATCCTCCCTATTGCAGTAGTCTTTCTAACTCAAGTCTTTCCTTATGCTACTCACTTGGTATTATGTGACATAAAGTACAGAAATTTATCTCATAAGATTTACAAAATCAACAACCTATGGAATTTTAAAAAGTGTGACATGTTTC